GGACCACACACAGACACCACGTGATAATCAGCATGCGTCTATTCGCATCACGAATTCAGTTCGTCATGCAAGCGATATATTTGCATACTAGGCCGGGCCTACCTTCCATGTGTATGCTAGGATGCCGTTGGAATATTTCCTCTCAAACTTATTTTTTTTCCTAAGAAAATTTCTGAAGAAAAATGTCCATTTTATGTTATTCTGTGCTGATTGCTTTAGAAAAGTTTGGAAATTTACTACGATAAATCCAAACGAATATACCTATAATCATTTTTTTTCATTCCAACCGCTAAATAAATTCATCAGCTTGCAATCTTTTACTGTTTAAACACGAGCCATTATCGTACTGTGTTGAATGAGATCTACATTTGGTATATATTATTATATATTGACAGCCTCAGAGTTGTACATTCATTGTTCTTATTTGAAATGTGAAAACACTGAAATGTTTGTTGATGTGTAATGCATCAAACAATCAATGGAGGACACAAATTTATATAGCGCTCCATCCGGTATTGGCCTTCTGAGAGCCTGGAAGTTGTTTTAGTGTTGCTACTACATTTTCTATTACACACACACAAATACACACACATACATATGGAATACATCGTCGCGTTCGACGGATTGTGTCATTGATGAGTCCTTTGATGCGAGAACAAGCCTATTCTTGATGAACATCGACGACCACAGGTTCCACAAACCCACACCCCTGTGCTGTTACCATCCCGGGTCACCTGCTTACGCCGTCCTCTTTTTCCAACTAGAGCTGCAATGCGCGCCTCCTCAAAGGCGGAAACTTCCGCTTGTGAGCGTGTCTTCCACTGTGAACGCTCGAGCGCAACGACACCCAAGGTTTTAGAATCCAGTCAGATTTTTTTTAAGTTTTCCTTCAGATTATCTTTAAATCTGCGAACTGGACCGCTTGCAAGGCAAACTCCAGAAGCCAGCTGTCCGAAAAACACCTGTTTGGGAATTCTTGTGTCCGGCATGCGGATAACGTGTCCCGCCCAACGAAACTGTGTCTGTAACAAAAACGCCTCGATACCCAAGATACCACACATTTCCAATACAGTCGTATTTGGCACCCTATCCTCCCATTTAACGTTAGCGATAACCCGTAGACATCTCATATGAAACTGATCGAGTCTACGTATATGGCGCCTATAAGTAATCCATGTCTCACATCCATACAACATTGTGGTTAACACAACTGCCTTATAGACAGATATTTTAGTAGCCAGTGACACACCCCGTTTCTTCCAGAGTCGTCCACTCAAACCACCAAAAGCAGCACCAGCCTTGGCAATCTTAACCGTAATTTCATCATCGATAGCAGTAGTGTTGGAGAGGTAGCTACCAAGGTAGCAAAATCAATCCCCAGCGTTCAACTGCGAGCCACCAATAGTTACGATGGCTTTAGAATCCGACGAAATAGGATAGCTTTGGTGCAGAACCTCTGTTTTTTTCCTGCTCACCGTGAGTCCAAACCTTTCTGCAGTAGTGTGGAAACAGTTGAACAGAGCCTGAACTTCACTTTGTGTATGTGCAACCAAAGCGCAGTCATCCAAAAACAGCAGGTCGCGGACTATTGTGGTTTGTGTTTTTGACTTCGTCTGTAGGTGTCTGATGTTGAAAACGTCTCCATCCATGCGATAGCAGATTGGAATGCCCTCTACACAATGTTGAAAGGCGACTCGAAGCATTAGGGAGAAGTAAATGTTGAACAGCAAGGGAGCCATGACACACCCCTGCTTGGTACCATTCGTCACCTCAAAGTCCGGGGATCGATCACCATTTTCAACTACGGTTGCCTTCATGCCTTCATGGAAGGAGCAAATAATCGACACTAAAATTGGAGTACAACCGATCTTTTTGAGACATTTCCATAACGCTGAACGGTTGACGGAATCGAACGCCTTTGTTAAATTTATGAAGACGAAGAAAAGTTCACGTTGTTGCTCACGACATTTTTCTTGAAGTTGTCTGGCAGTAAAAATCATATCCATAGTACCACGACCAGCCCGAAAGCCACACTGACCCTCTGGAAGAATACCAACATCATTGACGTACTTGGTTAGGCGGTTGACGATCACGCGGGCCAATATTTTTCCAGGAATCGATAGCAGAGAAATGCCTCTGTGATCATCCCAGCATGAACGATTCCCTTTCCGTTTGAATATGTGAATGATAAGGGCATCCTTAAAATCTTGAGGAACCGATTTCCTATCCCACATGTCTTGGAACATTGTCACCATCCTGGTTTTAAGTTCGATGACACCACATTTGAAGAGTTCTGCCGGCAGCCCGTCCAAACCCGGAGCTTTTCCATTCGACATTTGGGTGATTGCTTTTTCCACTTCAGACAGGCTAGGGGGATCATCGAGATTACCTGCAATCCTCCAGTCAGGCAACTCAGCAAGGACTGAGTCATCAAACCGGGATTCTTGATTTAGCACACTGTTGAAGTGTTCAGCCCAACGAGCCAGGATTCCATGGCCATCCTTGATGAGTGTTTGACCATCTTTAGACAGTACCAGAACACTACCGGAGCTGCGGGGACCAAACACAGTTTTCAGATTTCTGTAAAAAGATTTCATGTCCCCGCGGCCGGCCGCTACTTGCAATTCATCAGCTCTGGCAGACCACCAAGATTCCTTCATCTGACGAAGCCTCCTCTGTGCAAAACTGCGTGCTTGCGTGTAGCATGCTTTCTTGACGCAGTTGCCCTTGTTATCTATCCAAGAACGATGGGTGCTGTGCATGTTGTCCAGCAGCCCACGTGCCTCCGTATCCTGATTGTCGAACCAGTCCCTATGCTTAATACGCTGATATCCAAGCACATTAACCGCAGCTATCTCTACAATCTGCTTGAAATTTGACCATTCTGTGCTCTCATTTGTTGAAAACTCACCACACGATGCTTCGCGGAACAAATTTCTAGTTGACGGTTCTGTTAGCCGAGTCACATCCAGTTTGGCTTTCCTTACAGTTTTGTGATGCCTTCTGACCGGTTTAACAGTAAGAAATACCGACATCTTGATGAGGCGATGATCTGACCACATTGTTGATGCTCGCACCGCTTTAGTTAGACGAGCGAGATGAAGATCGCGTTGTCTGATAAGTATGTAGTCGATGAGATGCCAGTGTCCTGAACGTGGATGTTTCCAGCTAGTCTTCTTCCTGTCAGCCTGTTGGAAGACTGTATTTGTCACCACAAGATTGTGCTCTGTACAAATTCGAGGAACATGGTTCCATTGAATTTTCCCTACCAACTCCATTTCGTCCAAGCACTTTTGGCCACAAGATGTGGTCTTTACCCACACGGGCGTTAAAATCACCCAAGACAAACAACTGATGGTTGTGTGGTGTTGAACGAACAGCGTCACCCAGCTGCTCATAAAACAAGCTCTTCTCCTCAAAAGTTGCTCCAAGCGTTGGCGCATAGCAGCTGATCAAGGTAGCAGTGTGACCACCCTCCAGGTTGAGCTGCACCCTCATTAGGCGTGGTGAAATACCATAAGGTACCTCATGTACAGATTTCAGGAGTGTGCTACGAATGGCAAAGCCCACTCCACCAGTACGCACCTCACCTGCAGGATGACCTTGGCAAAAGAAGGTGTAACCAGCACCTCTCTCCTCAAACTGTGTTGCGGCAGAGATTCTTGTCTCGCTGAGCGCAGCAACATCGATGTCTTTTTTAGGACAGATTTTTTAGTCCCCTCTCCAGTTGGAGAAAGCAGTGCATCCCTGAATAGGGCTGCTTTGTCACCCTGGCAGGATACAAAAATTGCTGTAGCCATCAGCAACAAACGACCATCACACTAAGGCCGCCTGTTTGTTGTGTTGTGACTAGACACTGCCAGTAGTACCCTCTACCTGTGCCCGTCGCCACTCGCCAATCGCCGCAGGACTTTGTTTGCACATCCATACAAGCATCAAACCACCAAGACCACCTTCACACTGGTTGATTTAAGTGGAGCATGTTTGTGCGGCATGCTACACTCTCTCCTCACTCACTCTCTCTCCACAGAGGTCGGTATCAGCAGGCACAACGAGTTGAGACACGCCGAGCGACCAGTGTTGACGCAGAAGTTTGGATGAAACTGCGGTGCAGTTTTATCCTCGTAGCCAACTATCCTGGCTAGATTTTTAACTGGGTTTACTTCCAGGCTTTTCCCAAGCGTGGGTATAGCCGCAAGGCTGCGGAGGTTTGAAATCAAAGTTTTCCTTTTTCTGGATGGTATTTCCTTACGAGCGCCATCCGCCCGGAACCTGGTTTAGGCGCCAGTAACTCGCCTTCGCCCTCTCTTGTTAGTTAGTAGCAGCCCCCGCCACGTGCAGGAAGGAGTAGGACTTCGATGGTCGTAGCGCGCACGCTACAAGCCTTTGGTGGCATTTTGTAGAACTGGGGAGTTCACCCCCCAGATCACCACCGGCAAGCCATCGCGTTTGGGGGCCACACACATACATACATACATACATACACACATACATACACACATACATACATACAAACACACACACATATATGCATACAAACACACAGACACACACATACACATACTTACATACAAACACACACGTACATACAAACACACACACACACGAACACAAATACAAACACACACATAAATAATTTTTAGTTTTAGGCATGCAGACTCGTGTATATGCTGTTTTAACTGAAGTCATATTTTAAATTTATTTAATTTAATAAATGATATTTTTACATCTTCATCCGCAAAAATAATAATCAATTCAAATAACTGTCAATTTATTATTATATTTTATCAACATTTAAAAAATCAGCACTCCATTGATGTTGATGACGACCGCCTAAGCGATGCACTAACTCTAAATAAAACTTGTAATTGTAACCGATTATAATACAATTGGTGGTGAAGAATATTTTTATTTTGGGGTTAATCTAGTTTATAGCAACAAATTAAATAAGTTTTATGAAATGCACCATTACTAAGCGTTATATGAATAAGTATTTGTCATTATTTTTTGACGCGATCGTTTGTTTTTTTCTTCTTCTTTCTCGACCAGCAACCGCCCTTCTTTTTCTTTTTTTCTGTTTTCCTATCAGTAGATGGAGTTGCATCTTCTGAAGAAGTTTCTCGCTCTTCTGATTCGTCCGCCATTGATACCTTTCCAGCTTTTTTAACGTTTTGGTCGTTTGGGTTTGTTGAAGATGGAGATTTGGATTGTTTAGGAGAATGTTTAGGAGAATGTCGCATTAGAATAGGTTTTTGAGACCTATCAACTTGCGTGGCGTTTTCATCGTAGTGCTGGTCTCCGGGGTTCGGATATTGGAGCTGCTCTGCTGCTTGACTCTCTTGAACGTTTGGGTAGTTGTAATAAGGTGGCTGCGTATGTTGATCGTAATGTTGAAAATTTTGATCAGCCCTCTGGGGTGGGCCAGTATGATGATAGACGGGCTTCTTCAGTGCACGTTGACTACAAAAATCTTTAACGTTGCATTTGCGTCGGCAACAATATTCGCACGACGACGATGATAAGAGGTCTGAGTCGTCAGTGGAAGTCTCGGTGGCGTAGATAGGAGAGCAGAGTCTTCTACGTGCCCGATGACCGCATTTCGGCTTTGCTCTCAAATGACCTTCTATTATTTTCCTACAAGCCTGTCGGTATTTGTTCTCACCATTCTGCACCCAGTTCGAATCTTTGGACATCCAGCGATCAATTTCATAATCAAAATTACAGTAGTCCATAGCTTTTGCTGGCTGGAGCAATGTAGAACAAATTTCTTTATCAGGCGAATGCTCCTCTTGCATCTGCAACAAAGAGAAAAACGGCTGACGCATGTACAATTGCGTGGGATTGCAACAACTTGGTTGCGGGAGGGTATTGCACTTCACCAGCTGTGAGTTCGGACTGTCGTTCAATTTATGATATACAGCCGGAAATTTATTAAACGTATCATGTTGTTTTAAACACTGATCTTGTTTCTCAACAACACTTCCCCTTCCATCGTTTTCTCCTTTCGTCGTGCGGATTAGTGTGGCGATGTCGGCGATGAAAGAAGAGCAGGAATCTCTCTTACAAGGCACAGACTGGCATATTATGAACGACTCATCGTTTTTTATTCTTTTGGTAAAATTATTGTTCAGTTTAAATTTTTTAGCCCGGTTGTCATTTTGTTTGATATTCTTTTCGTTTACGTTTTCAGTTTGAGGACAACTGATTGGAGAGAAATTTGGCGCTGAAGTGACGCTGCGGACGTTGTTGCATTCTTTATTTGCTTTCTGCAATATGTAGCACTTTTTGTGGCACTCACGATCTTTAATCTCACTGTTAACTTTATTGGAAGGCGATACTGTGAAATCATAAGGGTCTAAACATAACTTCTGATCTGTTTGGGGTTTATTTTCAGTTTCATTTTTAGATGCAAAAGTGATTTGTTCGAGTGCTTCGATATCAGGTTTTTGTAACGTTACTCTAAAGCATGGCATGTTGACTTTTGCCGGTTCTTTTTCTAGAACGTACGTACAGTTACGTCTTCTAGTAGTTGTATTATTTTTTGAAGTTGCGTCAGTAACGTCTTGTGGGTTGGCAGCATTATTTGGAGGGTTGATGGGAGACCGTTGCTGAAGCATTCTGTATAGATTGCTAGCACGCCAGCTCATTATGCAGGGATCCGTACCATCGTCTACGATCTGCTGGATTTTTCTCTGATGCAAACGACATGGGTACTCGCCGGCACGTTTGTTTTTGGCTGGCAGCGATGATACTCTGCATTTTGATATTGGACAGCAAGACGCGTGCTGAACTGGTTCCTGCTGGCGTTGCTGAACTTTACACACTGGGGCGGTTTGCTCTTCCAACTTGTGTTTGATTACCTAAAAATTGTTTGAAAATAAATCAAAATCAACGACATTATTTTCTTTCAATGAAATCTCTACGAAAATAAATGCGAACCATTTCATACAGCAGTTGATTTTCCAGCGTCAGCATATAATTCTTTTTCAAAAGATCATTCAAATTCTTCTTCAAATTGCAAAATGCTTTATGTTCTATATGTAAAAATTATTGAATTCATTTGAAAATTTAAATTCATGTTTTTATCTCAAAATCAAACTCATTTTCTCTGGTGGCTTTTGCTTGCTTTTACAATATATAACAGGTTTAACAACGGTTCTGCATTTTTTATGAGGAGCTTCAACCGGTGGTGGTGGCGGTGGTGCCTCTTGCGGCGCCGCTTGAATTGCTACAGTTGGTGGCTGCATTTCTTCGTTAGATTTCTTACATCGGAAGTCAGCAATTTCTTGAGCAACTTTTTGAAGTGCTTCATCTTCTTGCTTTTTCTGAGCTAACACTTTGTTCAGCTCTTCAAATATTTCATTTCTGCTCCTTTTCTTCGATAAACATGGTTCGGGTGGAATGGTCTGAGTTGGCTCCGGAAGATTGTTACATCGCCAGGGTTTAAAATAATTCGATGGTGGCATCGGTGGTTTCGGCATTGGAGGTGGAAAGAAAAAATTTCCTGGTGGCATATTTGGTGGAAGTTGAAAATATGGAAAGCCCATAGGGGGCGGCATGCCGATTTGTGGATGAGGAGGCTGCATCATTGATAATGTTCGATTTGGAAAACTTTGATGCGTTGTTGGTGACTTAGGTGGTGGAGGAGTAGATCGAGTCTGCTTACTTTGTTCTTTAACGATAGGACCGCGTGATGAAAATTTTTTCTCGCGACAGTAAGGTCCCGACGGAAGAATGACAGCTGGGATTGGTCCTACCTCATCTAAATATCGAGTGTTGACGCCTCCACAGACTGTTGGTCCAGGTGATGTATAATTACCATCTCGTCTCTTCAGGGAAATCGCAGTTACGTTTCCCATGCCAAAATTTCATGTTTGTGTATATATAGGTTCATTTAGCGTACGATAGTCGAATAAATTATTATATTTAAGTATTCTGTATGGGTAGATGTTGATGTTTATGGCTGCATAATAACATAATAACAAAGACGTTCATAAACAAATTATGTCAGCAAAACATAAAAATCATTAAGTACAAAACTAATTCACTCAAATTATCATATCACTGTTGGTTACGGATAGTTTTGTTAGGCTTGCTTGGGACCCTGTAAGTGAAATGTAATGTTTTTTAATGTTTGTGAAAGAAGTAAATTTTACTTACTAGTGTTAAAATGTAAAATATTATTTGACAATTTATTTTCACAATCAGAAAAAGATAATTAAAAAATGAACTAATTTAATTTTGGAGACTGGAAAATCATAAAAGCAAATGAATCAGTATTAAAAAATCTTGATAACATAAAATATTTTAGATATTTTTATTAAATTAAACAATCACAAATACGTACTTTGAGGAATGTCTTCTAAAAACATTCTTGTCAAAAACTCTTCCTTTCTTCTCAATTTGGTTAGCACTTTCATCCTGGTAAGGCAGTTCTTGGAGATAGTACGGGTCATTGGGATAGGGAGGATATGGTGGTTCCGGATATGTCTGAGGGGGATAACCGTCTTGGGAATAAGCATTGTATCCATAGGGCTCAACATTAGGTGGTGGATAATATGGGGCGAGAAAGTCTGTAGGTGCTTGTGTCGTTTCGGGGATCGTGTTAGCAACTTTGTGTTTTTTCTTTTTTGCCCTGCAGGTTCGTTCGCATGAATCCGATGATTCGTATGAAGATGAGTGGAAGGTTAGACAGGCGCTGGATGAGTTTGAGCTGGATGATGATGATGATGATGACCATAAAGGTGACCTTGAAAATTTGAAGTAAGGGCGATGGAGTTGATGTTTACAGAGCTTCTTCATGCACCATCTGCAGATTGTTTCGGTTTCATTTAAACTTTGATTGCATGTATTGAAAGGAGAGCACAACTGATCAGTTTGGGTGGTGCATGATACTTTTTCCGACGAAGATGGCCCCATCAAGTTTTCGCACTGTGGGCCGCAATTAAGTAAAACACAGGGGTTTGTACATTCATTATTATTGCATAATTTTGGCAAATTGGAATAATTTGGTTGAAGTTGCTGCGATTGAAACATTTGAAATGGATCGCCTTGTTTGCATTGATTTTTATGGTTTGGTGAATTTTTAACGACAACTGATTCTATAAGAGAAGCAACATCAGCAAACAACGAGCAGCATGATTCTGTGCTGCAAGGGACTGACTGACATATTACAAAAGTTTGACCACGTTCTATTTTTTTTGCTAAATTATTGTGCATTATTAACGGTAACTTTCTATTTTGAATTTTGTTTTGCTGTATGACATCATTCGGTTTCTGATCTAAGGCGGGATCGCACGCTCTGCTGTTGTCTGTCTGGTTTGGTACTATTCGATTTGGTGGCTTTTGGATAATGTAACATTTTTCATTGCTTGTTTTAGGCAAAGTTGCAGTAGGATTAGCCGTGGCAATGTGTTTGTCTGCTGACGCTGTTGTTGGTTCACAAGTCGCTTTTGAGTCGATTTCTTCAACTGGAACTTTTTTATTAGCGGAATTCAATTTTGCATTATCGCTCAGAAGGCCACAAGCGGCAGGATTCGTCGCATTTCCGTGTGTATTATTGGCCGCGTAGATGTGCATGTCTTTGTATGATCTGTAGGGACTTGTGAGGACTACACGGTAGCAAGGTATCCCGCATCTTGTTGACTCCTTTTCCAACATGTAAACAATCTGTTTAGGCGCAGACTGGTTCGCCGTCTTAAACTTATTATTGATGCAGCTACTGTTGCACAAATCAAATTTTGTATATCTGCTGTTGGCATTGTTTGGACCACATAAATCTACGTTGCACCGGGCACTCTTATTGAGTTTATGATCTGGAAAATCCTGACATTGCGACTGCATTGGAGGAGGAGGTGGGCATGGAGGTATGGGAGGTTGATAGAGATGAATGATTGGTGTAAGACAGGGTGCTGTAGGATTGTTCTTGCCAGATGTTTTGCTAACTTTGCTGGCTTCCAATTTGTTTCTTATCACCTAGAAATTTATTTGTTATCACTAAAATCAGAATAATTTACAACTTCAAATATAATAATCATATTAATTTAGTATTTGGACTAAAGAATCATACGCTTCCTGTTTATTATGGGATGCCTGCAGGTGTATGGTGCATGTGATAAGCGAACATTTCGATGTTACAGCTCTGATCATACAAAGGTTTAATAGTAACAAGATGAATGAGGAGCAACGTAAATAAGAGTAGCAAAAGTACTTCAACAATTTTTTTAAGCTAAAATAGCTATCCTAAAATTAATGAAAATGATACCAAAGTCGTTCACACCATTTCGTACAATAATCGGTTTTCCAACGAGAGCAGATGATTTTTTTTCAAAATTTCACTCATCTTTGATTTTTTATTATCACCTAAAACGTTTGAAATATTGTTTTAATTCTAAGTTGAAGTTTATCATCGATCAGTTATTTTTATAATGACAGATGTAAAATGAACGTGCTACTAAGTACCAAGGCATACAACTGCACCCTTCGTGAGTTTAGAAGAATAAGTTACATATGAACAGAAAATAATGCAAAAAGTGACATAAAAGTTAAATTTTTTTATGTTAAAGTGAATAAAAACTAAAATTTATACTGCAGAATGAATTAAACTATTGCATGAACCTGAGGTTCACGTCACAATCAGAGCAAAAATCAATTTTGTTAAATCTTGTTATCATTAAGCTTGGAGTATTTGTACAGTTTGATTTATTTTAATGATCTTGTAATCTATATTTTGATTAGTGTTTTATTCAAAATTATAAAATTAAGTTTGAGTTTATAATAACTTTTAGTAAACTTTTTCTTTTGTGGTTGAGTAGAAGTTTTATGACAAGAAATTCTTGGTTTCACTATAGCTGCAAAATATTTTTTCAGGGCGTCTTTTTCTTTGCATCTTGTTTTTTTCGGTTTTGAAGAAGCTTTACATTTTATGATATTTTCCGCAAAGTTACGCAAAGCTTCATCTTCTTCACTTTTCCGTTTCAAAATTTCTGCTAAATCCTGAAATAACTTGATTCTGTACTTTCCGTCATCTGTATCACTTGATGCCTTTTTCAACACAACCTCTCCGGTACTTGGTTGGCCTGATGATTCAGGGAATGTTTGATTTGCGGCCGAACTTACATAATAAGCTGGAAGAAGATGATCATAAGAATATGCGTGTGCTTGCGCCTGTGCGTATATTTGTGGGTAGGCAGTGTTTGTTGTTGATGATGGAAGATTTTTTAATTGAGATAGAGCATGACGAGAGTTTCTTAAGCGTGAGGACTTCGTTGGAGCCATGAAATTTAAAATTAATTTTAATTTGTATGTGACTTGCAAAGGAGAATATTGGAAAGTTAGGTATTGATGTATGGTATAGATAGTTTCCTGTTTCACAAACTATTACTACAAGAAATAGAAACTATTTTGATATATTAATATATTTATTAGTCAGTTATCACATGACAGTAATCCATATATTATTAATTTTTTTCTAAATTCTCTGAATTATATTAATCTTTCTTAATCTATTTTTTAGTATTAGTAATAGTGAATTTTTTGTGGTGTTGATTTTATTCACTGTGAGTAAACAACAGCGTCAGTTAAAGTTGTGGCATTAACATTTTATTGTGAAAGACGTTTTATATAAGAAAACCTTATTCATAATACCAGCTATATTTTCCGATTTTGAAACAGAAATGTTTGGTCTCAGCAATTGCATAAAAGTAAACCTCAGTTAAAATTTTGTTCTTGTGGCAGTTAGACAGATTTTCGAAATATGAACAATATTTTAACTTGGGGTACAAGCGTACGAATGATTGTTTGTCCGGCTGTCCAGTTTTACACCCGGTGGGGATAATGAACGATAGTTGTCAGTGTAACTGCAGAGTGTTACTTTTATAATGATCATGAGTTAGTCATTTTAAATATATTTCATATATATTTTTTAAATAAAGTAATCGTAATTAATTAATTAATAAGTAAATTACTAAATCATAAATAATATTAATAAATTAATAATGAAAATTATGTGACTGTTATTTCTTGTTATTTATTTTTTATATTTAAATAATTTTTATTTTCAGTTATTCTTATTGTGTCACTTGGAGTTTTAGTAAGTAAGCCATTCAGATTTTTTCATAATATGATAGTTCTATTCATGGTACCAAAAACTTACTTGATGTAACTTTTAACATAATGACCTATTCCCAATCAAGGTATTCATAATGGTATTTTGTTTTGCAAAACGACAAATTACAAGATTTGCTTTAAAATCTGGTAAGAGCCCACATGAACCAATAGGGCAAAATGCTCCAAAGGTGACTTCAACATAAATAAACTTAGTCATTTTTTAGTCATTAGTATAATTATTAATTTTTTACATTAACAAAAATTAATTTTTATGGACACCTCATCTAACTGCCTAACAAGCTGTGTTTACTGAAATAATTTGTTTGATGCACTAGGCACTGCTGTTGGAAATTGAGAGGAGGTTGAAACGTGTGAAAGACATCGCAGTCGAACCACAACTTATTGCGCCCGAACAAGAAATTGAACTCCAACAACGAGCGGAGTCTAGTGAGTTCAAGCAGTTTTTCTTAATTAACTTTAATTTTTTAAGATTTGTCAAATTCAATTTGATTCTGTGTTTTGTTAAAATTATATGAATTTTTAATGTTTCATAGAATGTATAATGTAATAATCTATAATTTATTATCATTAACAACTGTCCAGCTCCACAGATATATTACTACAGAATGAAGGCACTGGACAGCCTTCCAAAATTATGTTAGTTGTTCATCTTCTCTGCTCGCTAACCGTCATTAATCAACATTTCTAAGTTGTAACATTGAAGTTTCACAATTTTTTTCTTATCAGATTTCTCAGACCAGTTTTGTTTTAATGTAACATTAGTTTTAACTATCAAATTATAGATATAGTATAAGTTTATTTCAGTAGCATATGTACATGCAAATTATAAATGAGAACATTGCAAAATAAGTCATGTTATTATTTGAGATTACAAACCACATGCAGATTCTGACATAAAGAAATGCAACCCAAATGCCACAAAGAAGGTAGGTATTCCTCTTAGAGTTTTCCTGTTTGAGCAGAGGCAGGCTGGGTGCCTGGAGGGCATCCGACTTGAAACCATTGAGAAGTTTTGTAGTCTGTATGACCATGCCAGACACGACCCCAAGGTTTGCCATTTTTTTCTTTTTATGTCATGTCATTTTTGAAAATTAAATCTTTCACGTTCAGTTTCTGCAAGTTATTGATTTATTATTACCGGATGTGTTATTTTTAAACACAGATTTTCACATTAAGTGAATACACCAGGTTCAACGACATACTGAGACTACTACAGAATCAGTTTGTATTATCATTATTTTTCTAATACAGCCACTATGCAATTCAGCAGCAATAAGCATTCGTACATACACACATTCACACAACTAGCGTTACAAACACATACACTTCAAATTTTTACAAGGGAGACATCATTTATTTTAAATCTCATCATTTTTTTTACATTCAAAGCATCAAGCTACAAAATTTATAAATTTCAGAATCCAGCAAAGGGACAAGAGACCGTCACACTCGCCGGCAACTCCCGGCCATGTTCACCCCGGAATATCCAACCCAAGTTTCAAAAAGATGAACACCACAGGATTCTCTAACATACCAGCCGGCGCACACCTCAAACTGCACCTACAAGAGAGCAAACCCGTCAAGTCCACTGCAGCTGAACAGTCGCCGAGAAGCAGTAGTGGAAAAGAACAATCTCAAAACAACAAAAAAATTACGTGATTATGATTACGTGTGCGTGTGTGTAAGTGACTAAGTGTGTGCGTGCGTACGTGCCTGCGTGTGTGTGTGTGCGTGTGTTGCGAATGTTGTTAGTACATCCTCACCATTGCCACAAAATGCTTAATATATTAATTTTATTGTAAGTTTGAGTGCATCTTTTTATTTATTTAAGTTAGTTTTATGTCTAAACTGCTGCTAGTGGAGTTGGTTAATTTATTGATTCATCGTGTCGTATCCACAATCACGTTCAAAGTTAATGACGTTTATATTATGTTCAGTTAATATTTAGAACAGTTACTTAACTTTTAATGAAAGTGACAATCAAAATTCCTTCTTTTATATATACAACAAATTATTATTATTTTTAAATAATATGAATAAAATTTGAAAAAGATTTGATAGTTTTAAAATAGAGCTGACAATAATTTTAAAATGGAATGCACCTGTAGACGAATATAATAAATAAATATATAGATAAACAGATATATATATGCGATGGATTAATTAAAACAAAGGAAAACTATACAAAAATTACAAATTAAAATTATTGATGGCGACAGATATCAGCTATCCAACCAACAAACAATGATAAACATGCACGAAAACATGCGAATGGATAGTTGTATCATTACATCAAGAGAGAGAGAGAGAGGGATTTGTTGGGTATGTGATCATTGTGGACAATAATATGTTACCAAAATTGAAATAATATAACAAGTATTAACTATATTAGTTGGTCTCAACTATTAAAATCTCCATTAACATGTAACATGAATTAAAAATAAAAATATATTCAACACTGATTCATATACATATTATTATTCAAACAATCTAATGTTACAATTTTGGATTTTGAAAAATAACATTCTAAAAAATAAATTTATAAACTTATATAAAGGTTAAAGGTTCAAAAGAACTTTTGAGAATTGTGATATATAATCTGTTTTTTTAACAGTATATATGCACATAAAATACCAAAATTAATTATACATACAAACACATAATACCAAAATAATGGAATGATAAATTTGATCAACTGTCATTCATAAGATACCCTCAACCCCTTGTTCTTAACAGTTTGCAGAATACCTTTTCGCCTCTTATATATGACAACCTTACAGTCACATTGTGTGAAGTTGCTGTAACAGCTTAAACATTTCCACTTTTGTGTGGGACTGTGGTGATCATTTGCATCATAAAAAATTTCATGTGGAATGCTGGAGCTGCCTGTGCTGGTGTTGCTAAGCAGGTCATATACATTGATGCCTCTCACTTGACTGATCTCCTTTCTGTCGTAAGGTGTACCTGCTGTATGTGTGTTGTCAACAGAATTTCCATTTGAAATTTCTTCCACATGATCAATTTGTGAAATTTTCCTACAACAAATTTGCGCTGTTTTGAGTGATGGGTAATCGCTGTTTTTGGTATTCAAATTGTAGTTATTATTATTTGCGAAATATTTATTTGACAGTGAAGTACTGAACTGGATTTGTTGATTATTATTATGATTAATTTTATTATTATTATTTTCATCAGCTTTGTACCCATTCGACAAGTGTGACGAAGCTATCTTAACTTTCATCAAACCTCGAGTTGAATTCAAGTTTTTGGCATTTGTCCAACTCTTCGGACATGAATCACCGGATGCGAAATAATTTAGCAACAACCATCTCAAAATATAAAATATCGCGAGACAGGTTGCTATTACGGAAAGTGTACAACACTGACACGAAGCTGCGTAATCCATCGGCTTTGATGCTTGGAAACCTTCCGGGAACGATCAATCTTTAAGAAGGAGGCACCATTCATTAAAAATTCCCCCAAGACGTCAACTTCGTCGTACCCACTTCATCATAAGTGACTGTTTCAAAACATTAAGTTATCCACGATCAATCGTACAATCAACTACTTAGTTTGTGTAGCGCTATATTACATCAAACTTACGATAGAAAACGTTGCGAAAAGAATGGTGATTGCATGGTAAAATGACATTTCACCATTTCAAATCTGAACGCTGATTAGCTAAATCATATTCCGAGAGCTGAAACCATATACTTAGAATCATATGTATGTGTATAATAAATTACCTTAAATTACCTTGATACATTCCTAATAAACTTACATATATGCATATATACACACATACATACGTACATATTAATGATTTCATTTGATGTATCATCTTGGCTAAGATTCAATAATAACTTATCATAAACATTTTTTTAATTTGAAAGAAATTCTAAATCGCAATTTTGAGATTTCAACTCGTTACACTCAGACTCCATTCATCCTGCCAGTACACCTTGAAACCTATAAAGTACAAACTAACTTTTCTATACTATAATACTTATGCACACTGCATATATATATACCAGATTTATAAAAATTGTTTTTGTAATTATATATATATATATACATATATATATATATATTTCTTTATTAACAATGTTGCAGATATTACAGACAGAAACGTACACACACAGATATATTCATTTATTCCTTTATTTATATATTTTCCGGTATTTATTTACTTATTTATTTATTTATTTGCCTGGCTGAAATCAGACGGACCTACCAAAGGCTGCAAGATGTCTGTCTCTAAGTTTATTATTCTCTTTCAGTTGCTGCTAGACCGACCCACACACAGACACACACATACATTTGTATACATATATATACATACATACAAGTAGGTACATACATATATATATACAAACGCGTATAGTTATTTATTATTTATTCATATATTATATACACACACACGCACGCGTACAAACACACACACACACACACACACACACATATATATATATATATATATATATATATATACGAGTGCATCATTTGATGACATCACATCATAATATTGACGATGATTGAGTGATTTTTGTCTAAATGAAGGATTGAAGGTTTTGTCTGGATGAAGTAAACGTCTGCCAGTTGAAGCAGCAATAACGAAATAATAAAAAAATATATAATTCATCCAGTTAGAAGTTTTGTAGAGAATATGATTTCATAAATGCTACCACTGGCTCAACAGATTTACTTAGTTGACTTTGTTTAAAAGCTTGTCACATTACAGAGTAGTTCAAAAATAGTTGGGACAGAATATGCGTTGGATATTATAACAGTTAATCACAATTATGTTCATTTATTTAAGTTACTTGTACTATATGATTAAGAAAGTTCTTTTTTAGTTGAAAACCAAATAATGACACTGACATGAAAAAGAACGTAAGAAATGCATTTAAAGGAATTAATACTTGGGACACGGACAAAAACGGTTGTCGAGGCATATAGGCATGATCTAAATTGAAAAAATCAGTTTGAGTAGCTCCATGCAAGTTCAGTGTCTCTTCCTTCTTTTTCTTCTTTCTCGGATCTAATCTTTTCAGGACATAGGCGACCATCGACCTCCACAAAACCAGATCTTCAACACTTTGTAGTAATTGAAATGTGGTGATATTCAACAAGTGACACAAGAACGTCACTGGTGTCATTCGTTGTTGACTGCGATTTCTTCTCCCTGCAATCTTTTCAGTATTTGTTGAATTTTCCATTGTTTCCTTCCGCATGATGTGACCAAAAAACTTTAACTGTCCCCGTTGGATTATCTGTAGTAATTTCCTCTTTCATAACCGGACAGTTTTAATACCTCATTCGAAGTATGAGAGGTCCAACTAATTTTCATAATTCTTCTCAAAAACCACATCTCAGTAGCATTAATCTTTTTTTCAGACGTTGTACTGGACTCAGAGCGCTGTCATTGTAAAATTAAATTGTTAATGTGAAGTATAAACTTGAATGTGTTTGTATTTGTAGTTAACCTATTTGTACATACAAATCGTATTTGATATATTTGATTTGTGAATATTTTCAGAAAGTTTCGAATTTCTAGCTTCAATTTTTCTATGTATTAACAACTTTAGTATTCCAAGCGAGCTTTTTTATAATTGCGTTTCTCACTATCCGCCTCCATCCGATCCTCAACAAATTTTTTGTAACACTTCATCTCAAACGTTTCAAACTGATTTTCTCTCTCCTCTTTAATCTACGAATTACTGAATTCAAAAGTGTGGAAGTATCCAATCCATCTATTAAGTGCGATTGCTTAAATCTTTTAAATAATTAATATAAAATATAATCTAGATTCATTAATTAATATGATTTTTCTTCTACTAATTCCATAATTTATAATAGTATGTATCAATATATGAAGTTTCTTCATTGAATAACAAATCAAGATTTGTTTAAATGTAGTTCAGAATTGTGTTGGCATACATTTGCAAAATACAGGTTCTAAACTTTTCATACATCTGACGAAAATTTCGTAAAAAATTAATAAAATTAAATTTAAGATTAAGCATACAACGTGAAAAATTATATAAATTTTGATGTGATGGAATTAACGAATGATTGACAGGATTGCGTGCACATGTGTGTATATGTGTGTGTATGTGTGTATATGTGTGTGTTTATGTGTATATGTCTATGTGTATGTGTATATGTGTGTGCGTGTGTGTGTGCGTGAGTGTGTTTGCGTGAGTGTGCATGCACGTTTATTTATTTATATGCGAAGTTTCATGTTTGCATCTATCTATGTATGTGTGTTTATATTTGCTGGATGAGTTTTTGCATTTAGATACGATTTTTTGTGTCTATCATATAATTTAATTGATGCTTCATCTCGCAAGATTGCTTAAATATGTACGAAATGTATATGCGAGTGAACAAATATAGTTGCATACATATGTGAGCATTTCCACAACGGGCTTATGTCTTTATTAACACGTTACTGATACATATTACAACCCACAAGATATTGTTCTCCTTGAATATTCTTGTCTGTGTTATCAGTATTTATGTTCATAAATATTCATGATGGAAACATTTTGGCAGCATAATCTAAAACTTTGATGATGATGTTTCATTCATTTTTTTTAGTTTTCAGTGTTGAATATTCATTGCTATAAATTAGCACTAACATTTTATTGTTAATTTTAAACGTAATCTACTTTTGTTATTCATTTTGTTGCTCAACATTTGTCGTTTTTTGGTTATTATTTATTTGTTATAATCCGCGTTAGAACGTCTTCTTGTCTCGATGTAGTAGTTAGTATTTGTGCTTTTCATATATGCCATCAGTGCATAACTCGCATACACAGGCTTCATAATGGTAGGCAGCATTGAACATTGAACAAATTTATTGACACTGAACGAATGTGTGCATGTGAATGAAATGCAGCATTCAATTCGTTTGTGATTCTTCTTTGGTTTGGTACGGGTGTTTGTCTTACCTTGTTGTCGCTATTTTATAAAGTTTTTGTCATTTTGAGTTAACAAATAATTATTTACGATGATTTGAACAAAAAATATTTATGACGATATCTAACTATTACATTAATTAAAGTCAAATTTTATAAATTAAAATAATTATATATAAGTAAAAAATTTAAATTATATAATTAATAATATATTATTTAATAATTAAGTTTAACTTGATAACATTTTAATTAAATGTTACATGAGATCATGAATTTTATTTTGTTTGACGTCGTTTGTCTTAAAGTTGTTAAAATGTCATTGAAATTAACGGACTCCTTTGCAACTAATTAATACGGAACGTTATTTTTCAATGTACGAATGGTTTTAAATGATTTTTTTAAAGAAATAAACTTTTTATTTCATACAAACTAAATATGTAAAAATAAACAATTGTACATTTGTAGTTTTCAACCGTTTTAATTTTAATGATCTTGACATACTAAGACAATATTTATTTATGTTTTTGAAATAATTTACCAACATTTTTACATGGAAAAGTTAACTTAGAATTACAAATGAAAAATATTAAATTTAGTTTTTTGAAAAAACCGACATTATTTAGAGGATCACAGTTCTTTGTTAGGCCGATTTGAAGTAACTAAAATACATTGGAACGCGGAAATGATTGTAACCAAGACTCTCCTAATAACTTGTACAGTAAAAAATGGAAACATTTGCATCAAGATCAAACAAGATAATAAGTTCACCAAACATAATTTTAAATGATGAAGTAACAAAAAATAACAACACAGTAGCCAACAAATCGTGTAAAAAATTTCAAAATGCGACAGAAAGTTACAGCTAAGTACTTAAAATCAAAGATACAGAACATTACAAACAATTCGTCGTTTTGTAACTATCCATACGACGAAAAATTTGACTCATCAACAGAAATCAAGCAAAATTGTTTTATTTGGAGTCGGTTTTTAAATTTAAAGATAACTCTAGCAAGGACGAAAGAAATCCCAACTCGTTCAAGAACAACAGCAAAATCATCAAAACCAACTCCCCAAACATCTTTTACAACACCCACTGAACACAACACACGCTTACTTTTGCTGCTACTCTTTCTTTACATCATTTCTCAAACTTCCGGATTCAGTAACTTCAGTCAAAACATTACAGTCCTCGACCAAACTCCAGCTCTGACGAGGGTTGGACAGATTGGGAATGGTCTGCCAGGCATATCTGGACCGTTTGAGATACATGTCGAGGATAGGACCAACGCATTATTTACTGTGGACTCTAACGACGGAAGCGTCACTACTAAGGTGAGCATTTGCTCCCTTTTACTAAATTATTTTTTAATTAGAAATTATATCAAAATTTAATTAAATTTTGTTTTCCAAATAATAATTCTTATAACCGCTTTAAGTTTTAACAAAATCATTTTAAACACAATTTCAACTTGCCAGGTACAAGTTCAAAGGTCATCAACATCAAGTAACAACATGTACTACATGATAGCGTTCACAAATAACGCACAAATTGACGTCACAATCTACGTCATATCTTCCACTTCAAGCAGAGCGCCAATTTTTCGACCTACCTCCTTCTCTTCCCTCATTCCTCTAGAAAATCAATTCATCAATTACACATTTTTTGTGGCAACAGTAACAGATCCCAATGAAAACGACACCGTCAAACAATGTACAATCATTTCGGATCCAGGTAGTAATAATAACGCAAGTAGTCAAATTGGCTCCGCTTTCCCTTTCACTTTGAAACAAACTGCAGCACCGAATCGCGCGGTGACGTTGGAATTAGTCTTGTCTTCAGTTGTAAACCTGCTTGGTCGATATATTTTCGGCATCAAAGCGGTGGACAGCTCAGCAGCAGGAATGCAATCGATTCTTCGAGTTAACATCACGATGGTATCAAAAGATTCCAACGTTCCACCCAATCCAACTCCTTCATTAACATTCGTTAAAAGTCGCTATGAAATTACTGTCAATGAAAATACAGGTAAATTTTTCTATTGTTACTTATTGTGTTTGCTTGTTATTATTAAGTTATCAAAAATGTTTCAATCGCAGTTTAAACGTGTTTTAATGCTCATAAGGTTGAATTTTAAATTATTCAGAAAGCGGAGTAGGACTGGTTCAACTGCAGGCCACGAGTCCTGATTCAAATTCAAGTCGCATAAAGTACACTCTGGCAGAAATGTCAAGTAATGACGAGTTTGCAATCAACTCCACAACTGGCTGGCTCTCGTTGAGAAGACTTTTAAACGTAGACTACAAAGACACTTACGATTTAGTTGCTGTGGCTACAATAACAACTTCTGCTGGTGCCTCAACTGCAACTACGCTCGTTCACATCAAAGTTACAACATCACCTTCTATGGACATACAAATTGTTTTCTTAACGGATGACGGCTCGCCAAAAATCTCCAAATTAGCCATGCCGAATGATCCGGTGGCATACGTATCATTAGACAACGTTGATGCCTCTTTCCAATTCGATGTGGCACTGGAGGGGGGCGAAGGCAGATTTGGTCTGACAACCAGTGGAGATATGATTTACTTGGTTGTTGTTTCAAAATCACTCGCAGACGCTAAACCTCTCTATTCAATGAGATTCAAAACGTTTTACTTGGCCCATCCGCTGAAATTTAGTTGGAAGGATTTTGTTCTTAGGATAGTTGAAAACAACGGGGATGGAAAAGACTACCCACTCATGTTTGAAAATTTGAGATACGATGTGGCACTGGATGGTGCAAGTCAAGTTGGAACTGAGGTCCTCACTGTTAAGCTGTTGAGCGATGTAGCTCTGATGAGACAAAAGAAAAACAACAACTTGAATTCTCTTGATTCAAACAGCACTGCTTACAACAACACTAGCATCAACCACAACACACCAAGATACCGGTTCAACATGACTGGAGCGTTTGAAAAATATTTCCACCTGGATTCTCTCACAGGAACGATAGTGACTTCGCACTTATTTGATTGCAGCTTTTGGACGGAAATGGCGCTTGGAGTGGAGGCGTACCGACCTTTTGTTGGGTACGATGTGCTCACTGTGGCAAACAACCTGGCCTACACCGATGTCGTCGTTAAATTACTCTGGAGTCCAACATCCATTAGGGCCCCTTCCTTTGAGAAACCATTCTACAGGTTTGAAATTAATCTGTATGACAAAAACGTGGACGGAAGTGAAAATGCCATCAAAAGTGGAATGTGCTTTGGGAAAGTTAGTGAAATGAGTTGAATTTTTAAAACTTTTAACATCATATACAACACGCAATACAAAAATTATCAGACATCTAGTAAATTGTACATTCCTATACGTATGGAACCTCTTGCATAAAAGATAACAACACTAATAACTATATACATACACCCACTAATAATTGTATACATCTATACAAACACACATGCATGTACGTACACTTATAAAGCAAAGCTTATTTATTATTGAAATGATGTTTTGGATCTGTGCCACGATGCTAGGTTGTGCTAAACCACTGCTCTACCAAGTTACTGCAATGTAAACAAATCTGGCGTCTATAAATTATTTAAACAACAATATTGCTCCACTATTGAGTTGCCTGTACTGTTTAATTCAATTTGTACTATTAAATTGATATCTTTTTTCAAATTTAAATCAATTATATTTTGACTGTCAATTTCTTTTTTCGGGATAAGAAGTTTACTTCAATAATAATTTATCTGCCTAGTAACACATTTATAATCTATCCATCTATCCAATCATCTATCCATCCTTCCATCTATTTATCCATCAATCTATCTATCCATCTACCTATCCATTTATCTATCAATCTATTTTTCTAATTATCCATTAATCGACTCACTCATTTAATTAGTGTTACAAATTTAATAATCCATCTCATATCAATTAAGTTCTTTCTCTACCTGTCTTCTATTAATCTATCGATTCCATCCTCACAAAATCAAAATGTTACGCATACAATGTTCAATGTTATTTTTTAAATGTACACTAAAATGTGTTAAGTTTTAGCGATATTTGAAAAGACAAACATGTTCGTTAGATCAGATTCGTACAACAAACAACAACGACAACAACAAACATATCACTCACTGACAGCAAATACATGTCAATGAAGACATTGAACACGCTGACATCACAGTGACAACATCAACAATGATATTTACGCGAATTCACCAGTGACGTATCATCATACGTCGGTTACATCAATAACATTCAGCTCATTAACAACAAAATTAACAAACAAAACCGACAGCCAAAATATTATTGACAATGACATATCAGATACATCATCAACCATGTATTTCAGCCATGTTAAAACAACATCAACAGTAAAACTACATCAATATTATCAACATCAGCTTCAATGACATTAATTACATCAAAACAATAACACAAACAACTTATAATGTGATTATTTCACTCATATCACTGCTTGCCAACAGCAGCCTAAATAACATTCAATTATTTTCAATTATTTGTATGGTTTTTATGTCTGATGGATATTTGTTTATCAGCTTGTCTTATTTTACATATTTGTATTAATGTTTAAATGTTCATGTATGTTTTAGAAATTTCTCTTTAGCATTTCTCAGTAGATTCAACAAATACACGTGAAACAAAAATATTATCATCATGTGGTTGATGATGTCAACCATTGACTTTTTAATGTGGGTGGACACTGTATTTTAAGCCGGTTCTCCTAACTCAAATTTCTCGAGGGAAATGTTTAACATATCTGTATGTATACACTATCTATACGCATACAATTCATTTGAACAAACACATGTCAAATTTTGATCGTCTCCAATTTTGTATTTTATTTTGTATTGGAATTTTTCCTGTTTAAATACACGCATACATAATGTTTCATACAAATTGGGGTGTAAATAAATTGTAGTTGTTAATTTTTTTTAAATACTTTGTTTACAAGCGTTTGTGTTGATGAAAGATTTGCATGATTTCTGTGGAGGTACCTATAAGCACTAAGCAGTGATAGTTTTTTTTGCTACTAGGGATGATTATCTTTGTACTTTATGCACATATGGTGTCTGTGTGTTGTGTGTGTGTGTCTGTGTGTGTGTTTTAATACTAACATGTCTGACAGTGATGAAATGTGTGTGGTATGTTTTCAAGTATGCGCTTGTGTGTGCGTGCGTGTGTGCGAGTGAGTGACGTGCTGGAGACATGCTGAGTGAGAATAGAACGGTAGAGAATTAATCGCATAATTTCATTTCACTGCTTCATCCAACCAGTGAATATTCTGACAACCTCGAGATAGCGTTAACAAGAAAAATAATTACATTAAAAATCCAATATAGATTACTTACATTATTTAATAAAATCACCGTTATTATTATTACTATTATTTGCATACAATTAGTATTTTTATTATTAATAACTCATTATTATTCACATTATTAATATCATTAATACGTAAATTGGATTTTAAAAAATCCTATCTATCTCTAAAGCGCCGTGAAATGAACTCAACCCAACAATGGTCTCTGGCGACGAAAACATCAAAGAGAAAATGCCGACGATATAATCATAATAAATATCGATATGAATAAATAAATAATATATTTATATATAATTATACATATATATATATATACTTATAATAAATAAATATAGATATATATATATAATTTATTATTTGTTTGTTTATTTGTTGATAGGTGCGTGAGTTTGTGTGTGTTTTGCTTGGCGATAAAGTTTGTGTGTTTAACGACAGAATGAATAGAGAGTGAACGATTTGTTTGTTTATGTGTGCAAATCAAATTTATCATTAACACTCAATCACACACATGCACACACTCACACACATACACTATACATTATATAATATATTGATATATGAATGTATGTGCACACACATACTCAGACATACACACATTATATAATATACTGATATATGAATGTATGTATAAATAGATATAGGAAAGTATGTATGCAAAATTATGAAATGTATATAACCACGACGGCACAATAAACAGTGTAACTTATAAAACTTGTGTAAGTTTTAAATTTATTAAATGGAAAAAAGTAGAAAAAAGTTTTGTTGGTGTGATCTCGTAAATCAAAGGGCAACTGTGAGCCTCATAAACAAACCTCAAAACTGCATTGTTAACAAGGAAGAAATATTTTCATTATAAACAAATTTATGTTTCTAGACATGAAATGTTTTTTAAATTTATTTGGAAAGGTGTTGACCATCACACATTCGCACACATACACATATGCTTCATGATTTATCAAGTTTGTTACTGCCTGCAACTAACTTTCGTGATAGATAAATATAATTTCATTTTATTCCTGGTTCACTCTACCATCTTTTGGTTGCGGTCCATTAACTTTCCAGCTTATTTACATATTTCAATTCAACAGGCGTTCACTTTTTTTAAGTTTTACGTGAAAGTTTAAATTTTGAAGCTTTCTCTTATTTTAAACACTTTCGTGATGGAAAGAAAGCTATCTATGCGATTGCTTAGCTTGCAATTTTTCTTTATTGCTAATCGCTTTTCTTTAAATTTATAATTAATGACAAATTTTACTTCGTTATCACAATATTTCTTAATTATTTAACTTTGTTCTACTTTGTCATAGCCTACAATAAGATATTTAATTTTAGAGAACTTTTAAAAACTTAAAAATCAAACAGTTGAACCCTGATGCATTTTAACAAGCCGACGTTACATTACTGAAGCTTTGCAAGTTGTATGTAATATTAACCAACAATGAAGTTATTTTAATTTAATAACAATCCCAAATGCTAACAAAACATCAATCAATCAAAATGAATGAATAAATTACTGGACGGTCTTACTTACTTAATTCACTCTTTTGATGTTGAGAACGGCAAAGGTTGAAGCAAGAAGAATAATAATGATGAATTAGCTTAATTCGACGTTTTCATCAATCATGTAACGCTATGTTCGGCACACCTGAGTCAATCAAACCCACACAACTGTAATGCTACCTTCGTAGCAATCATCTTACGTGGCAGTAACATTAGTACTTAGTTGTTGATTGTGCAATTTATATATCAATATTTATATCAAATCAATAGCCAAACTTAAACGAACATTAGTAGTAAAGATCTAGCTCAGTAGTAAACATCTGGCTTACAAAGTAACTTACATAAATATCAATAGTTTATTCCTCATAGGCCTCCTAAGATTCTGCGACACGTTCGTAGTGCCTGATACAAACGGTACATATTATTTTGCTTCATGTGCTGCTGTGCATTCTTCAGAAGCGAACAAACTTAAAAAACTCGATCGAACTATATACATGTACTAGTTTGAGTTTACCGTAAAAATGATCATTAATTAGTTGAGATTTGCCAAATTAATTGCCCGGCCAGCTTCGGTTTCGGCCATTTTTAAAACCGAATAACTGAATGTTGCAATTTTCATTTAAACCACGTCATTTTTTGAATTCCAGAGCATCAACTGTTGGTTATTATTATCGGAGAATCCATTTTGGCCAACATAGTTGTCAAAACATCTGGATCCGAACAAGAGGTTGCCAATTATCTAGATGAAGAATCGGTGTATAGACAAGAATGACCTAATCTTTAGCATACTTTTCATTACGAAAAATTAAATTTTTTTCAAAAAATTGGTATTCGATTTGGATCAATTATTCGGCCTTAGGTCAAACTCGCCATTCGGTGCATTTCTATTAATTAGTCATCACAAGTGTTAAGTTATTTTTTATTGTACTCCAATTGAACAACAATTTTTTTCTAATTGTATAATGTTGTATTGTCATGTTATTTGATGCGGTTTAATTGTATTGTAGGCATATGTAGCAGATGCTTCCATTGTATTCTTCTTCCTTGAATTTCATTGTATACCTCTTGTGTTCAAATACCCATTCAAGCACAAACATATACACACACACATACACATACACAGCTCAAAATACTCACATGCATACATAACAACATGTACTGATAAAACATTTTCAACAATAAAACATATAAATACATATTTATAACATACACAAGCATTTACGTGAGGCTATGTTAACATAATTTATATAACAGTATATATGTGGAGTGCATATTAAATAGCCAATATAGCAGAGCCTATTGTAGTTATATAATGTTATATGCACAACACTCATAACATTAAATATAACGTAACGTAAATATGTTGTCATTCATGCACTGGCGGCTTACATCAAAGGAGAGATTACGCTTAATTGTCGTCTTTTACAGGAGATTTATGAGGCGCTTAGTTTTATTCCTTATACATCTACTGAACTGTTTGTTTAATTTGTATAAATTTATTTCATTTTTTCTATCTTATTTGTTTACATTTGAGGCTAGCATGAGTTTTGTTTTCAAGTCTGTAACAGTTGCTTGTACACTCAACACTTTCATGTAGGTATGCCAAATGAATATTTGATATTTTAATGCTATCTTTTTATTATCATCTGCTAGCATTAAATGCAAAACAACAAATACAAAACTTCACATACAAACAACTACAAAACTTCACATACAAACACATACAAAACTTCAAATACTAACGTATACAAAACTTCACATACAAGTGAAAACTCATCAGCCAGCCCAAACTCCCACCCATTTAAATCAGCGTAAATAAATTTATAAGCGCTTAACATTTCACCATGGTCATCAAGCTAAACACCAACTAAAACTAGTTCTCATCTAGATGGAGTATTTTGTGGAATGTAGAGTTATTACTATTATTGTTGCAGTTGTTGTTGTTGTTTTTTGTTAGTTATAGTAATTTTTCTATTGCGGGCATGTGTTTGTGCACGCGTGTGTGTTTAAATGTATAATTTTGTGTGTGTGTTGTGCATGACGTAAATAATGCTGTATGCATGTGAGTTTGTCTGCATGTGAATTTATGTTCGTGTGTATGTGTGCATGTATAAATAAGAGATGTGCGTGTGTATTTGAATGTGTGTGTGTATGTGTGGGTGTATGTATGTGAGTGTGGGGTGTGTGTGTGTTTATGTGTGTGGTGTAGTTTTGTGTCTGACTTGGTTCATTTGTGAATGTCTGTCTGTATGAAACGTCTGCTCGGTGCTCATAGGTTTCTCATTCTCTATCTGCATCTAAATAGCGTCTACAATCTGAATGAACTCATATTGGTGACAGAAATATTGTCACCATCCCCATCATTGTTGCCGTCATATTTGTCATCATCATCATCATCATCATCATCGTCATCATCATCATCATCATCGTCATAATTTTTTATTATCCTAATCAACGTCATCATTAATCACGACCATCATTCTAATCATATGCACTCTCATCTGTATTATCATCCTTTCCATCATCATCATCATCACCATCATAATGATCACCATCACCATCATCCTATCGGAACAATCATCACCATCATCATCATTATCATCACAATCTTACTCGTCGCCAACCTCTTGTTGCAAGAAAGTTGCTCTCTAGAGACAGAACTATGTAATTAATCATCATTTTATTGCTCTATAATGACCATATCCAATTTTATTCATGTCAACCTATGCATACATAAGGCACGTACGTTATGCCATATTATATTTTGGAGTAATTTTATTATTTATATATTATTTATATTTACACACACACACACACATATATATTATTTATATTTACACACACACACACACACACATATTATTTATATTTACACACACACACACACACACACTGATACACAACAGACACACTCACATATAGTTGTAGTAGTAGTAGTAGTAGTAGTAGTAGTAGTAGTAGTAGTAGTAGAAGTAGTAGTGGTAGTAGTAGTAGTAGTAGTTGTAGAAGTAGTACTAGTAGCAAAAGGGAATGTAGTAATAACGATAGTTTTGTCGCAATTTTTACCATAAAATTGATATCCTTGCTATCATCACCGTCGTTTTCTTCGAATTCTAAAAAATAGGTGATGGCTCGGCATCCGGAAAATGACAACTGTTACGATTCTCTGAACGTTTACTACAAAATTCTTTCATCATCGTCGTCGTCACCATTCATCATCATCCAAGACACTGGCGATGTTTGTCTAGCGGCCTCGAACCAACTGCAACTCTTGCCATATTATGAAATTTATGTAACCGCCTACAACAAATGTGAGTTAGTGATGAAGAGATGATGATGATTGTGATGACGATGGTGATAATTATTTATATTATTATTTATGTCGTTATTATTGTTTTGTGTTGTTTTTTGTTGGTTCTGTTGTTGTTTCTTGAATGATAATAATGATGAGGATAAAATGAAATTTATTTTACAAAAATTATTTTCCAGATAATTTGAGTAACTCTGCTATTGTTAGAATACTTTTTAACAACAACAACAACATCAACAACAACATCAACAATAACAACAACAATAACAACAACAATGTATTCTACTATTCGTCGTCAACTTACACGGTCAACTTGTTTTTCAACGCAACACTATCTACTGTAATTGGTTATGTTGCCCTTTTGTATGCTTACAACAACAACAACATCAACTTTGATTCTCCTCTACAACCCAAAAAAATCTCTCATCATATTATTGACGGCAACATAAGAAGTTATTTTTACTTACATCCAAAAACTGGTAATTTGTCGAATAATTTTTTATTTTCTGTAAATATTTTTTTATTTTTTGTTTATTATAACGAAATCTTACTTGTTTCTTAGTTTTATTGAATAAATTACTTTTTAATATAAACATTTTGCGTTATCCAACATTTTATAAGTCATCTGAAACCTAAATCAAAAATTCACTTCTATATGATTTGCTGTTTGGTATATTTACCGGGTATATTTTACCTCTTCCTATTTCACGATTGGGTTGTAATTTTATTTCAAACTTTCATTTCGGCCTAGTTGATGTCTTTATATTGCACCATCCTCTAATTATCACAATTTAAACGTTGACATTTTTAAAGATATCTAACAAAAAATTTCTGGCTTGTTTGCTGCCAACTTATAAACATAACTTATTGAAGATGTACATATTTCAAAAGTTTTACGTAATTAAATTTTAATTGAAAATGAATTAACTATCCCAATAGGAGCTATTTCCTTACGGAGAGCCCTTCCGTTCATTCAACTGACCACCACAAGCCAAGAATCATCGTCGTCATCATCATCATCATCACCGTCATCGTCAACTTTGTACTTCAACAAAACAGAATTCAGCCTTCAAATAAGTGCCTATAGCGAGGAGTTAGAGTCATTTTGCAGTTGGCCTGTCTTCTATCGCATAAAATTACTGCACCCCAATAGTATAAACGATGATACAATTTATAACTACGACAACACTCCACCCATCCCTGTTTTTAAAAATCAGCTGATCCAATTCCAAATCGACCAAAACGCCAGACGGGGAAGTCTTGTTGGCAAGGTCGAGGCCGTTGCTGATGGAATTCCAAGGAGTGGTTAGTTTCAGTTTCGCTTTCAATATTGTGGACTTGGTTGTAAACGTAATTTAAAAATTTTAGGTACTGGGTATATTCAAAAATTATGAATCTAGGTGGATGAAAACAGTTTTGGTTTTGCGTATAATTTTATTTGTTGAGATACTTTTAAAAATACATCGTCCATTTTTTAATTACCATCTTTCTAGGCTTCTGTGGCGCTAGTTTGCATGTTCTGCTGATGATAAGCGCTACATAAATTATTTATAAATAAATATTTACAAAATTATAATATTTTCACAGTCTTGCATATATTTAGCGAGGATTGATGTTAAGCAATTTGTTGGTTTCTCAACATTGTGCTCGTTGCTTCAATCTATTTATCTCTCACTTGCTCAATTGTCATTGTTTTCATCTAAATACACATTTATTTATTCATTCGTTCGTTCGTTCGTTCGTTCATTTGTTTATTTATTCATTCGTTCGTTCGTTCGTTCGTTCGCTCATTCATTCATTCTTTACTTCATAATTTCATTCACGTTGTCAAATACATTCTCACGACAAACAATGACAACAACAACAACTACTACTACTACTACTAATACTAGTGTTATGCACAGTAGAATTAGTAGTAGTAGTAGTCGCAGTAGTAGTAGTAGTAGTTGTTGTTGTTGTAGTAGCAGTAGTAGTAGCTGTAGTGGTAATAGTAGTAGTAAGAATAGTAGTAGCAGTAGTAACAGTAGTAACAGCGGCATTAGTAAAAGTAATGATGACGACGACGGCTATGATAATTGTAATGATAACATTGATTAAGACTACGTTTGTAATAATTCTGAATCGCGAATCAAAGATAACAAAAATGAGTTGAAAAAATATAATGTTTAGGTATATACCCTTATTTAATTTAATATAATTTTAGGTATCTCTTAAGATTTGTGTCAAATATAATTGTAGATGACAACTACTACTGCTACTACTGCTTCTGCCTCTACTACTACTACAACTGAAGAAATTGTATGTTAAATTGTACATCAATGTATGAATCTCTATCTACATGTAACGGTATATATATATATATATATATATATATATATATATATATACATGAATGTAAAGTATATGTACATGTTTGAGTACATGGTTTTCATATGGTCGTTTATCCATTTTGTTTGTTTGCATGTTTGAACGTGTGTGCGAATGTTTAAATTAATTTCATATTGATTTATATATTTATATATATATGTGTGTCTGTGCGTGTGTGTGTGTGTGTAAATGTTTTGACATTTATTATAAATAAAAAACTTTATATTAAATTTTGTTACTGACTGACTAGCTGTCCAATGATAAAACTGCATAGCCGTTCAATCATTGCAGTTAATGTATGCAAATTTATTCTTTAACGTTTCATTGGTTGTAAAAAATTGAAAGACAATCTAAAGCCTGCCTATATCAAGTTAATCTTCTGCATTAATTATGTGTTTGTAGTTTTTCGATTAATGAATAAATAAATGAAATATTTTGTTAAAAAGCTTTTTTAAAAATGTTTTCATATATATTTTTTTAGATTTACGGTACATCATATCATCCGGCCAATCATCATTGACGTCACAATATTTCCAACTTCTTGATTGGTCAGGAGAACTATTCGTCAACCAATCGCTGACAACTTTTCCCTTTCTAAGCACTTCGCATTTAATTAACATTGAAGTTCAAGGTCAAAACACCTTGATTGGTTACGCTCAAGTTAACGTCACCATAACAAACCGAAACATAGATAATATTTATTTTAATAATTTTCCTGTTTTCGGTTTTCCATACAAACGCATTGACGTCATACTTACCAAAGATACAAAAGACGAATCCTTAATATACAAACCCGAAGCAAAATGGTGGTCTATGAAAAGTTTTAACGGAAGTGAATTTTTTAATTTAAATTTTTCAGTCACCGGAAATGCTTCAAACTTTCTGAACTTGGACGTATTTTGTGGATCTTTGGTAACAAACAATAATATTTTACAGTTTGTCAACAGAGGAATGTATTTGGTCAATCTAACAGCCACGTTAACAACATCTCTTCCGTATACTTCAGCATCATCGTCGACATCATCCTCATCATCATCAACATCAATCTATATTCATCTCCTCAAACCTCCCCTTACTCCATTAAACTTTCAAAAAGCAATCTACGAGTTCTCCATAAAGCTCTCTGGTGATAAATTGATAACCATGCAAACATCAAAACCACTATCCACTGATCAGCTGATCCAGGTGGGACAGCTGGGAGTGCGTGGGAACAGCAGCATCCCAAATGACAACATCATTTTCTTCTCTCTTGCAAACGGATACGAAAGATTTGCGCGAGTATTTTTTGTGGAAAATTCTACCGGCAACCTTTATTTGAATCAATCATCTAAGGATTTCTCCAATTTTCAAACATTCCTTTTCCGGTTTCGAGTCGTCGCTCGCTACGTAGAACCAGTTCCGGTTAATTGGACTGAAGCGGAAGTTGTTGTTAGAGTCGTTGATGTCTCGCCTGTGACGAGTCGTAATTTTTATTTCGGTTCCCGGGAACTTAATTTTGTTATGTCAGATGGCGCGCGCGTTGGAACGCCGTTGGCATGGGTCGGGGTGATCAACGATAATGACGTAATCAATAATAATAATAATAATAATAATAATAATAATAATAATAATTCAAACAGTAACAACAACAACAACATAGACGCCATGATGAAACGTTGGCTCTTGAACTATTTTTTGCTTAATTACCGAATAACTTACCAATTACAATATAAAAATACTAACGATAATAAAAACAACAACAATAATAATAACAACAACAACAATAATAATAATAATAATAGTGACTTTGATTTTCCATTTTGTGCAAATAACACAACGGGGAAAATATTTCTGTGCCGTACTCTCGCTGGGATGGAAGGACAGTTGTTTACATTTAATGTTACTATTTATATGACGTCATCGTCAACCTCTTCTTCATCAACGTCATCTTCTTCCTCTTCCTCCTCCTCCTCATCATCTCCCTTCATTGCTTCAGCGAAGATTGTTGTTCAAATATCGAAATCTAAAGAACTGAAAAGGAAAAAGATTACAAATAATTTCACGAATAACGTCATTATCGTTGATAGGGATGTTTCCGTTGGAACGAATTTATTCAAGATTGAGTTCGATGATGATACTGATTATAGTAGTACTGATGATGATGATGATATGCAGTATAGATTGTTAGAAGGTACGTACGTTTGATATTTGTACAAATTTATAATTATTTTTTATGGATTAATAATATAATTGAATTTACAAGAAGATTTATTCATTTGTGAATCAATATGTTTCTTTTGGGATTATGTTTTTCAATTTTCAATTGTGTAAGTTTTTCAAATCTTACTAAATTATTTTTATAAGTTTTTCTAACCAATTTATTTTAGCTCCAATCTTACCATCAACTTTCACAGTGTATTGAAATCTGTTACCATTATACAGTTCAGTTTCAAATTGAACCATTTCAAATCCCAAATATCTCATTTTCAAACCACACAGATCCTTATTCTCAGGACTGGAAATACTTCAACATCAACAACCGTACAGGATGGATAACGAATAAGTTCACTTTTAACCAACCAAAATCTCTTGAGAAATACGACTACTCTATGGCCATTTCTGTTAGGTCATCGTCGGATAACTTACTCACGTATGACGACATGGCGGTCGTTCAATTCAAAATGGCCGACGCACCGGAAATGGATGTTGATTGTGTGACGTCAGTAAACATTGGAACAAATGTCTATGATGGGTTTATAGTGGGGAGAGTATCGTTTGAAGATTGTACTGTAAATACAAACACAGTTGGTGGTACTGGAAGTATTAACGATATTGGTACTAGCAGCTACAACAGTACGTATGAGTATTATTTGGTGGGAGCAAATACTATGAACAGTTTTCAAGTTGAAAGTCAAAATGGATGGTTGTATGTGAACAGAAGACTTTTTACATAGTTGGTTGTTGTTGTTGTAGGATTTAATTTTTCGCTACGATATTTGTTCGTATTGTTTTGTTAGTTACTTGACTGGAATTTTTGTTGTTGTTGACGTTGTTGTTGTTTATATTATTGTTCAAATAACATTAACAAAATAACTTTAATACGAAATCACATTAAACGTTTCAGCTGCCTGTTGCAAACGTACAACGTAACCGTACAACGCATACGCAAAGATGAACCAGCGTACACCAACATGCGTATTTCAATAAACATCTCACCGTCATTCAAATTCATCAGCGAACTTTATAGTAAGAATTTCATCAATGATTCTATCACGTGCAATCTTCCCATTGGTTCGATTGTACATAAGGTCAGGGTCAGTGGTCTTGGGAAGTTCAATATGCCCTATGAAGATTATTCCTGTCTGAGGTTTCGTTCAATTAATTAATTAATTTTAATTGACCGTACAAATCTTGTAAGTGTGAAATAATTTATCTGAATGTGAAGTATTGTTAAGTTTGATTCACTCTGCTTTAGTATTTTTATTTGTTGTTATTTAAGTTAGTGCAAATGATTAGTACGCTAGGCTGCTGATGTTTCTTTCATTTGATAAAAACTAATACTCCCTACAAATACAGCTTCAAGTACCAAATACTTTCCCAAAGTCTAACGTCATCATCCTCATCATCAGTGACGTCATCAACTCTACAGCCAATCAGCATCTTCGCAATTGATCAGACGAGCGGATATGTAAAGACGACGATGAAGATGAATAAATTTGCTGGCCGCCATTTTGTTCTCGTGGTTGTTGCTACTAACTTGCTTACAAGCAACAACAACAATAACACTAATAACATCAACAGCAACAATAATAATAATAATAATAATAACGTTACTATCACAATCATCATCTACGTAGAACAAGATATTGACTGTAATCAAACAAATCTATCTTTAGAGGGTGGGGATTTCCGGCAAATTACAATAAATAGAAACGCAGAGGAGGGTAGCTTAGTGACGTCATTTATTTTGCAGAATTGGTCATCCTCCTCCTTCCCTTGGACATCGCCATTACGTTGCCTCATAGTTTCAGGAAACGATCAAGGATATTTTACTATAAACATCACAACAAATCTATTATACACGCGATTCTGCCTGCCGAATGACCTCACCAGTTCGTCCTTCACCTTGAATGTTACCTGTTTATTTTTAGGTCACCAAGTTAGGCAGACGTTAAAAATGTTTTTGACCGATGACGACAGCGGTTTCGGTGGGAAGGTAAAATTTTCTCGTGCTTTATTTAAAAGTAGATTGGATGCGGAAGGGAGGGAGTTGTTGAAGATGTCAGTCGTTGCAGGAGGTTGGTCTCGAGTCTGCTGCTGCTGTTGTTGCGTTGTTGTTGTTTAATTTCTTGTTAGTGTCTTAATTTGAGGTTATTTGCAAAGTATTGTCTAGTCGGTTTGTCTTATTTTGATTTTGAGGTGTTTTCATCATAACGTCAGTCATTTAATGCAATTTTGTATCCCGATCAACACCAACGAATCAGAAACGGCAATAAGTTCATCATTTTCGCTGACCTTCCAATTGCTGGATGATTGGCTGAGGCCGTATTTTATTATAAATTCTCAAACTGGAGAATTGTCAATTAACAAAAATAACTCCGCCTTCTTTCAAAGACTTGGACATGGAAAAACTGTCATCGTTCCCGGTCAGTAGTTGAATGTGTTGGATGTCGATGTAGTGCCAGCGTATGCGTGTGCCTGTGAAATGTTTACCAGTTACGTACATCAGTTACACGAGTTTGTACGTTAAAAAAGATGAATGGCTTTATACACTCTTCCAAAGTTCTTCACAACTGCGTAGATGAATACGTACGTGTTGAACAACGCATCACACACGAAGCATGAGGCGCCAATGATGGGATTTTATTTTTTGAGTCGTGTTTTTTACAATTTTTAAATTTTCATGACATATTTTTTCAGTTTTGGTGACATGTGCTTGGCAACAACCACAACCAAACACTTCCTCCTCATTGTCACGTGACTATGCGACAGCGGTAGTTGAAGTAACGACCAACACCGCAGACGCCGGTAGTCCAGTTTTCACGCTACCAAGCAGCGGCTACTTCAATTTCGAGTTGTATGAAAACTCTCCACTCCAAAATTTTGGAACCGTTTGTTGTGCTCCTGCTGTTGGTGGTCATGATGAAGATGAAGAGGATGGTGAAGATTTCGTGCTGTATTATTATATCGTTGGTACGCAATCGTCAAATGCAATCGTAAAATGATCGTCAAATTTTTGTTGTTGTTTTGTTAAATTTTTTATTTATTTTTATGTTATTTGCGACTGCCATTTTTGCCTGCCTTTTCTCAAATGAAATCATTTAAATACTCAAATAATCGAACTAATTATTCAAATTAATGCACGCGGACGACAGATGGCAACTCGGACAAGAAGTTTCACATCTCCGCGAATGACGGGACGCTATCGAGTCTTCCACTGGACAGAGAATCCCTCGATAAGTACAACCTCACCATCGCTGCAGTCAAGTACTCAACATCATCTTCATCGTCGTCATCGTCGTCATCAGCAACAACCAATGTAGTTATAAATGTCTTCGACCTGAATGACAACAGCCCAACTTTTGACCAATCATTGTACAGAACGGCACTCGTTGAAAACGTTCCTATCGGTTCAAACCTCAACTCACTTTCAATTCAGGGTCAAGACATCGACCAAGACGAAAACGCACAACTGACCTATTTCATTGATGACGTCATGACATTTTTCACAGCCGATCCAGTTAGCGGGGGTTTGACCGTGACAAGAAATATAGATAGAGAAGCATTAGCTCAACTTGCTGCCAACAACAACAACAACATTAATTTGAACAAAACATCAACAACACTTGTTTACAACAACAACGATGACGTCATAATAAGGTTGATCTTGAAGGTGTCAGACAACTCCCTGTACATGCCGCTGACGTCACAAGTATTTGTGGACGTGCACATCAATGACGAGAACGACAACCCCCCGTCCATACAACCTGCCTGCCTAATTAGGTCAAACCTCGTCAGCGCAACCAACGTCAACAACAACAACAACAACAACGCTTACATCTACCTGCCAGCAGCTTATGTAATCACAAACGTGACGTCATATGACCCAGATTCCCGCATCAACAACAGATTGACGTATCGTCTACTGGATTCATCTTCGTCAATATTTCAAATGGAACAGGATGGTCGCCTGACTTTAAAGCGGAAGTGGGAGTTGGGTGTTGATGACGTGGGAGACTATAACGGAAGTGACGTTGTTTTGAAGTTTATCGTCAATGATTCCGGAAGTCCATCTTTAAATACATCCGGTTTGTTTATTATATTATTTATAATAAAACATAAACAACAACATAGACAGTTGTTGAAATGATAAGAACAGCATCGACAAAGAAATATTTACAAATTAATTGTTTCGCTCGCAAGTGTGATTCCGTGTTGTTGAAATAAACTTCCAACAAATAAGCACAAACACGTTACAGTGCTTATAAAAATTTTTATTTAGTAAGTTTTCGTACCATGAAATAAACAACCACAACTATTCCAACAAATCAAACATGAATGTTATTTACCTCGCGATATCTCTTATTATTTCTATCTCTTTTATCTTATTATCTCTTATAGTTATTACTTTCCAAAATCACCCACAAATCAACACACAGGGGTGATCATTGTCAAGATGCCCGAAACATACTCATCATCATCACCATCATCGTCGTCGTCGTCATCGTTAACGGATGTCCAGTTCACTCAATCTTTTTACTCATTCACTATCGACCCTACGTCGTCCAAAATTGCAAAGGTCAAGGTTGAATATGCAGGTCACGCAGTTTATTTGGGTCAAGTTGTGTATTCGATCGTGGCTGGTGATGAAGAACAGATTTTTTTCATTAATAGCAGCAGTGGTCAGTTTTGGCGAGAATGGTGGTGATGATGATGACGGTGACAAGTTGATAATGATGATGAGGAGGATCAGTTCATGATGATGATGATGATGAAAAATTACTTTTTATTTGAAAATTGTTAGAGTTTTATGAACAAAAAAAATTAAACATCAATTCCTGTTAAGGTGATATAACACTGCAGCAACAATATTCACTCAACTCCAACCTACTACAACCACCAACAACAACGAAGCAACAACAACAACAGCAGCTGCGTATTCTACAACGTCGACAACGCAGCTGTCTCGTAGTTGCCGCAACGACAACAGCCGCAACGACAACAGCCACAACAACAGCCGGCATTCAACGACAAATTTACACGTACGTAAATATCAACATACAATTAAGCAGCCTGTTACAGCAGCAGATGCAGCAGAATAACGTGACGACAAAAATAAACGTTCATGAAGGCAGCTCCAGAGGGACTGGCTTGTTGCAGGCTAGTTCTTTCATGGATTATTTGATTTGAATTACTATTTCAAAAAAAAATAAACGAATGATTTGTTATAAATGAATATGTGGCAAAATAATTTTTCTTCATTAAATTCCATTTGTTTTTTTATGCTAAAAATTAAGATGCCGAGATTTGACCCTTACGACCCCTCCAACGGCACCGCCATCACTTACGTCATCATCTCAGGAAACATACAAAGTGCCTTCACGATTGAAAACAACGCCCTCAGGACTAATGTTATCCTAGACAGGGAAATCAGGTCGAACTATAAACTTGAAATTAGAGCGACAATGACGTCATCATCGTCGTCGTCCTCATTTTATGTGGTAGTAATGATACAGGTGCTTGATGTTAATGATAACGCTCCTTCATTTCCAGATGCATCTCTTGTCAGTCTGTCCTATGGTTAGTATGGCTGTTTGTTTGGCTGGTTGGTTGGTCGATCGGTTGTTGAAAACAAAAGTGTTGTTTTGAATTTTAGTTAAACGCATTAATTATTGTTGACACTTCCACCAATGCCAACATTTCAATTTTGTCCACAATTCCATCACGATCGACAACTTCACAATCATCCACAACTTCATCATCATCATCATTATCTGCATGTTCGTCATCGTCATAAAGATGCGAAACGCAAAACAAGAGTGACGCAAGTAAAAGCCAACGACCTTGATCTCTACCCTCCAATCACCTACACCATCCTACACGGCGGTGTCTCACAGCAGCAACAGTCGCTACTACAACCGCCACAATCAGCAACACCTTTCCCACAGCAGCAACAAAATAGCAACAATAATAACAACCAACAACTAACATGCGATCTTACATCTGATGACTTCCACATAGAAACGTACACAGGTCAGGTGATCCTGTTGACAAATTTGGCGCCAAAAAAGCAATGTCATGGACAAAGGCTAATTTTGAGTCTTCAGGTGTGTGTTTATATTATTTCTATATTATTTTTCAAACAAAAATTCCGCAATGGAATTATAAAAAAAAATGTCTTTTCAGTTTTTTGGATTCGGTGAATTAAAAGTTTTGTAAGCATAGGAGCTTCGACATTTTACTCTTGTTTTTTTTCTAAATCACTTTGGTCAGACGGCGTCAAAATCACTAAGTAACATTTGCAACCAATCAATCACGTTAACGCACACACACACGCACACACACAAACAAACACACGCACACGCACACACCCAAAGGCATCAGATGGAGTCTACACCGCTACAACAGATCAACTGATTCAAATCCAACAACCGAGTAAAAGTAAACTTAGGTTTACGAGACCTCTACATAGAGTAGGTTCTGGTTTTTATTCCCCACATAATATAAAAATCCCTAAAAAATTCATATATCAAGATATATGCATGAACTCATTTGCGCAAATTACTCCTGCTGATACAGGCAAACATAACCAGAGGAGCAACTGCAATCCTACCATATGTTATTGCCAACATCACAGCCCTGTGGAAATACGAAGATGATGACGACTACGACGATTACGATGATGATAATTATTACAGTGGTGGTAGTGGTAGCGGTGCTAATGATCCAAGCATTAGTTATTCAATGTACCCCGTTAAATTAAATCAATATTCTTCCTTCTTCTCAATTGGTTCTAAAACAGGTACATTTTCAAAAATTATTCTGTATAGAACCAATTAATTTTTTTTAAATATGTCTAATTATTGTTTAGCTGAATATATATAAACGGTTTACAGAGTTTTATTACCCACAATTATTTATAAATAATTAATAATAAATAAATATATTTTTGACATAATCCCAGCTTGATTAAACATTAGCCATCAATTTTTTCATTAAGGAGCAATCAGCCTATCATCACCCCTTCCGACCACAACAAACAACAACAACAAGGATGACGACGACTCCTTTGTTGTTGATGACGTCATTTATCACGTGACTGCCAACAGCGGTATGGCTAATGCGACGGTTGTTATAAGTATATTGAAGGAGTTGGACATTTACAATGCATCTGCAGTTGTTAAGAATCAAATCAAGTTGGTCATCTTTAAATTTGCAATAATTTATTTATGGAGAATGAATTTAAACAAATTTTGCATATTATAATTATTGTGATAAATAATACATATTATGAAATACTTCAACGCCACAGTGCCACCATTTCAAAGTTGACCACGCAAGTTGGATCAGTAGTTCTCTCAACGAAAATTAATTCTGAAATAATCAACCTGCCGAACCAGCGATATTACTGCCAGGCTGAGTGGAATTCTTACCTGGAACTTTCCAAGTCATCAGGTCATCTTTTCGTGACGTCATTTCCTCCTGACTCCTATTACAAGACGATGGACGGACGCTACTTGGACGATTATTTCACTTCCGTTAATTCGTACACTTCTGGTAGAAGGGATGGCATGAAAATAGCAGGAATCAGCGAAACAATGATTAATTTTGCTAGCGTCAAATGCCCATTTTTTGAGAAAAAAGACTACGAAGTAATTTTGAGAAACAACGCCAATGACATCAACGGTAATGTCGTCAACAACAACACACGAAACCAAACTAATTATTACGTAACAACAACGTCGGTGATGACCAGCAAATATTTTTTAGCGTTTTTTAATTCCTCTTATAGCATACTTTACACCACAGCTGACCAAATTATTCCTCAAAGCAACACAAGTGCCAACAACATTAACAACTACACCTCGTCATTCTCGATTGACACAAACACGGGTCAAATAACCTCTTCAATGATGCTTCCTTCAAATTTCCGTTACACAATTTTTATTGGATATTCCACTTCCGGTTTCTGTCCAAACTCCTACGCTACTATTTCCGTTTCTACAAATGCCGACGCGAATGTTAATCTCCTAAATAATTTTGCTGCAGTTTTTATCAGCGCTGTTTTTACGACTACAATAACTGGAGATTGGTTGCCGGGAGATTTTGTCATGAACGTGAAAGCTAGAATATACGACGTCAGAAATGTAAATAAAACATTATCATCACCATCATCATCATCATCATCATCATCTACGTCATCGTCTACGTCACCCTTCTCATCAGCTGCGTCCAACTTATCGATTAGGTACTCAATACAGGGCATCACAACTAACTTCTTCACTCTCGACCCAAACACTGGTGACCTGGCTTTAAAAACGTTCCCGACCCTCGCGTATAACGACAATGTCGACAATGGCCAAAATTACAGTTTCAATGTGTGGGCCGAAATAATAAACAGAAGTAGCACAAACAATAATAACATTAACAACGTCATCAACAACATCAGCAACAACAACAGCAACAACCACAATGAAGTAACACAGGCGCAAGTAATCATATTTATTAAACCACAACCAGAAGTACCGGTATTCGCTGACAACAATTTCAAATTCAATCTTCCACGTGACGTAAAAATTGGTGACGTAATAGGGAGGGTGCGTTCTTCAACTCGAAACGTGTTTTATTATTTTAAAGAGCGTAATGATTACTTTGCTATAAATAGGACAAGCGGAGAAATAAAATTGTTGAAAATGACTTCAAGAATAGAGAAGAGGTCAATCACACAGCAGCTTGAACAACTACAACGACAGGAACAACAAATTCTGACCGTGATTGCGCGAACAGGATTTCGAACATTCAAAGAGGCAACAACCGACGTCATCATAACACTAAATGACGTCATTGTCAACAACCAAACTACAACTTCTACAAACAATAACAACACAAACATTCTCACCAGCAAACCATGCTCAAACAATTGTCCGACAACTGTCAACACCAATTTTACCAGCATTTTTCCACAGCCTACCTCAACAAAAACGACAACCACAGTGCTGTCATCGTCATCATCAACGTTGTCATCATCTTCATCTTTGCTTCCCATATCATCATCATCATCTACAACTACATCAGCAATTATTAACTACGATACTACAAGTGGCAACATAAACAGCCTCACTCCTGACAACAACAAAACTGAGACAACACCCTCACCGCCACCGTCTGCCTCGACGTTGGCGACCACAAGCAGCAACCAACTGTCGACCACATCCATCATTTTGCTGGCAGTGTTTGTCTCTCTCGGAGGAATCATCATCATTCTCGCCATCGTCGCCATCGTCGTATGTTGCCTGAGGAATCGAAAACGCAACAAACAAAAACAACAAAATGTATCTGGAATTCCCAGCGTTGCAAACACTGCAAGCGTTAGTAACAACTACGGCGCTCAAACTCCTCCGACTGGTAACAGTACATCCCTGACGACGTTCAAGCAGTCGAAACAGCAGCTACTTTTGCACGCCACAAGAACGAACGCTCCATCGACAGCACGATCTGAATCGAGCGGACGAGGATCAGCTGTGGCGGCTGACGATGAAATCCGCATGATCACCGCAGCCAGGACGCCGTCGAAAACCTCCTCGCGTGTTGTCTCTGCCGAGATCCTGCCTGATTCCGGAGTGCCCGACAACGATGAGGACGAATTTGAAAGAGACGAAAACATACTGAACAACAATAATGTGATTGTTCATAGAAACAATGACAGCAGTCGTAGCAGAGAAATAAGAGCAATGAACCCGAGAAAAATCACATCATCCGAAACACCTTCAGTGCAACTATCGCGTGCGTATCTCTCCAATTTGGGCATCACTGCCCAGCCATCCGACACTACGATCGATAAATCAAATAAAAGATCTAAACAAGGCAACCAGGCTTCAGAAGCTTTTGAACTTGGTCATCTTGGTTCGAGGCAGCCAGCTATTTACAACGAATTATCCACACCCTCGATATTAGTAACTCCTTTGAATTTTAATATGAATAACAGTGAAAATATCCTTGAAGTATCCAAGTATGCAAGAGAACAGCAACCGCAACAAGCTAACAGCCAGCTTCAACAACAGAATGCTGCAGGCAGAGATTCTACGTTCGCAAGAATCTTGGCTAGAATCACTGGACAAAGAATTGACAATACTTTCAACAACAGCGCGGTGAACATTATTAATAATGGCAATAACAACAACGCTGCCAACATGAACGTTAGAAACATTGAGGACAACACTCTTGATCGCCACAACCCTCCCATTACGGCTCAGTCAATAAACCCTGCAAGCATTCAGCCATTACAAATTTCAAAATTTTATGATCCAACAAACAACGAACATATAATAAACAACAGCCGTAACAACAACAACAACAACAACAGAACTTTAGGTTATATCGAGCCAGAGTACCAACAAATCGATAACGACAACAGTGTTTATACAACCAACGTTAACATGCTACCAATCGTAGCAACAAACCAGATACCATCAGTTAAGATAGTTCCAACTAAAATCGTTCCACAACCACCACGAAACACTCAACAGTTATTAAATCCACGTCAGTTATTTATAAACGCAGTTGAGACTCCGCCCATCATCACTGATGCTCCGCCTCCTTCGATTTCATTATCAACACACCCTGTTCTCAACAGACTAACCAACCCTGACAGACCATCCAAATTTTCATCAGCTAACGTGATCAAAAAACAACGACAAACTGCCAACAACTTCCAGCCAGCGCACCAACAACACATCGCCGTCATCAATCCTAACAACATCAACAACACAGCCGATCAAGTTGGTAACAACAACAACTACCAGGAAATAGCCGTATCACAAGAATCTGTGACGTCAGATGAGATGCGCAGACGATTAAAAAATCCCCGTGAAACCAAAGCAGGAAACAGTAATCAAAATGATCACTCAAACAACATCTCCGTAAACGACGGCGGCCTTCTTAAATTTGAAAACGCAGGTCACTTGGTGTCCGTGACGTCAGATAATGACGCGTCACGTGGGCTCACCTTGCCTCTTGGAGGAAACAAGATGGCCGAAAGCAAAGTGACCTTTTTATCTTCAAATTCAGAAATTGATTTCGACGTCTGAATTATTTATTTAAATTTTGTAAAAAAAATTGAATAATGTTATTCTATGATATTTAAATTGATTATCAAGATAAAATCAAAAATATATGCAAAATGTTTAATATACGAATGTAACTAATAAAAGAAATAAATATGATTCATGAGTTATCTCAGGGTTTAAAACTTTGGCAAAAATTAAGTCGGTGATCAGTTTATTTTACCCCACTGCCTTGTCTAGCGTGATAAAATAATTTTTATTTTTCCTAAATTTATTTTAGAAATGATTTATTTTTCACAACTGTTGTCCCTGTTTGTAAAAAAAAAAATTCTGCAAATTTTCCATCAGTCTGTTCCTTCGTAACAACTACATACAATGAAAAAAACAGTTTAAATTAAGTACGAAGTTTAGTTCATCAAAAAACTCCCTATTTTGTTAAGTAAGAGTGCACTTGAAACATTCAACAAAAACACTAAAAAAATTTAAGCAAACAATAGATTTACATGTAAAAAATTAAAACGGTAACACACATATAACGAGCAAACATTAGGCAAGAGGATCTTAAACTAATTAAGTTCAATCACACGCGCGTCAGTCTCCATACTCAAAACACCCTTTTTTTATCTCGTTCTAAATTTATTATTTCTAATCAATTTAGTTTTACCATCAATTTTTCGTTTCAAACTCACGTCTGCACGCCAGAATCCAATTTAAAAAAATAATTATCAGTGGATTTTTTAACGCAGCAATGAATTTTGTCTACAATAGGCAATTACATAACCTACTGTTAGTGGTTGCCAAGCCGGAAGTTTAGATAAACCTGATGTTAGCAACGATAATAACAACTTAATAATGAGAAAACAGACTGACAACGTTGATCTTAACTTTCCTAAATAGTTGATTACTTTCCAATACTCGTCTTTTTCAGAAATGAGAACCAGTGCTAGTTAGACATCACAACATTCCTTTAACGAGTTCGACGAACTAATCTAAAGAAAAAAGTAAAAAATGTACTGGTAAACATTTCATACAGACGAATTTCACTCTGCAGTCATAAAATTCTCTAGCATGCTCTCGGCAGCTGCAGTTGAAATTGAAAGTTGATTCATCACAAAACTCTTGCAGAACTATCAATCCTCCCTTTGGACGAATAATGTATAGTAGTCTTACTAAATTGTATATAAGAAAAGACACATAACACAAAAGATCTAAATGATATTTAAACATTATATTCGATAAATCTTTCTTCAAAATAATCTAGGGAAATAATTCGGTGAAGGAATAATTTTTAAGTAATAAATTTATTATTGAATAAATAAATTGTTACGTATTCTCTACGCAAAAAAATGTTCACACACAAAAACCCCAAATAAGAACAAAACACAATAAATAAGGCTGTCAAAGGACGTTGTGTGTGATTTGGAAATAAGTAAGTATATAATAAAATAATTATTATATTATTCTCAATAGTCAAATGACGACCTTTAAAATTCCTATATTAACGAAGTTAAAATTGGGTTTATGGGTGAATGTATATGTAATCTATACATTGCAACGGCACACACAAATTTTCATGTTATGTCCTCTTTCTTTATATCTAGCTACCAATCAATCAATCAATCAATCAATTAATCAATCAATCGATCGATCGATCGATCTATCTCCATAATTTACGCACGAAATTGGTAGAACACGAATACAATTGAAGATCTAATTACTAATGAATTGAAATAATTAATACGAATTCAAATGAAATTGTGATTTGCAAGAGCAAATTTAATTAATAAACAGATGACGACTTTACTGCAATGATTAATAATGATTATGATAATAATAAAAATATTTACTATTAGTGCGGTTGTTATTGAAATGTCAGATGATGAAGATCAAGCCAATGACAGAATTGAAAAAACATACCTAACAAATTGTCAAATAAGTATGCATTTATGCATGTATATGTGTTTGCGTGTATATCTGTTTACGTACAGTATGTGTTGTATGTATATATAAATGTATTTATGTATGTATGTATTTATGTATGTATTATGTATGTATGTATCTGCCTGTATGTCTACATGTTTGTATGTATGCATAACTTAATGCACTAAACAAACAAACACACAAAAGTAAATGTCATAAAAATACACTAACATTCACAAAAAACAATGTATTAATTAATAATGTTTTTGTAAGTATGTAAGTATGTTTGTATGCTTTATTGTATGTTAACTTTTGTATGTATAAAAATGATCAATGTTTGTTTGTTTGTTTGTTTGTATACATACACGTAACATGTACATGAGCGTTTTGTAATCAAATCAAATCAAAACAAATTAATTATAAGTCAATCATCGGAGCTATATACAATAGGTCCACAACACATGCATTGAATGTGAGTGTGTACACGTACATGTGACAGATGAATGAATGAATGAATAAATGATTCGGAAAAATGAATAAACAATCCAACATGGCACGCACAAAGCACAAAATTAACTAATGAAATATGTTTTGAACACAGTAAAGAGGATAAATAAAATTTCAAACTTATTGTTATATATATATATGTGTGTATGTGTGTGTGTGTGTTACTATATATATCTGTGTGTGTTTATGTATGTATGTATGTGTGAGCTTGATGTGTGATTGTATGTGTGGACTTGATGGCTAAAATGGAACTAGCAACACTAATAAAAGTTATTCTTAATCCCTTACTCACCAATAACCATTCATCCTATGATCGTTATTACACTAACAAAACAAAAAAAAAAACACAACAGAATATAACAGTAAACATATAACATCTAGCCTATATGATAATAGCCAAATATAACATCAAGTGACACGTGTCACGGGCAAGACATTCAACTAACTCACCACAAACCTCATGCCAATAGCTATGGATATCGCATTTGTATATATACAGGTATACATACATACGTACATATATGTATATGTGTATATGTATATATATATATATATGTGTGTGTGTGTGTGTGTGTGTGTGTGTGTGTGTGTGTGTGTGTGTGTCCGTTTTTTCAAACATGCTTGCCCTGTGTTTACACGGAAATATAAATAAACATAGAGGAGCAGAAACATCCATTTGCTATAATATTGCACAGATAACGTGCTAAACGATATTATCTATGCGCATGTTTATAAGTAATATATATATATATACATACATATATATATATACATACATACATATATATTTATATATATATATATGTGTGTGTATATAGTTGGCTAGGCCGGCCAGCTTATATTTATTTATTTATTTACAAATCGTTTAATCAACAGCTATCATTAATAAAGCTTATCACCGTTTAAATGAAGAAAATAATAATATTAATTAATAAATAAATAATGATAATAATAGTAATTAATTAATTAAATAATAAAGATAATATAAATATTATCATTCATAATTTAGTACAGGGCATGTTTTTATGGCTAGGCAGGAAGAAATATAAACGAACAAATAAATAAATTTTTGCACGTTGATGATGGTATTAATGATTGGGTAAAACTAGAAGATATGGTGTAGTTAGTTATCGAGAGTGAATGAGAGAAAGAGAGAGAGAAAGAGAGAGAGAGAGAGAAAGAGAGAAAGGGAGAGAGTACATATCAGCTCAGCTACAAAAGCTTTATCATCTGATCTGAATGGTTGGTGTTGGTTTGATCAAATGACTTGAATGATTTCGAATTGGTGATGTAAAAAAAAGTTAACGCCTTTTATCCTTTTATGTGAGTAGCAGCAGCAACACTTAAATAATTTCCTCTAGTATGAATAAAAATCGAATTTTTTAAAAAATGTACAGAAATTAAATTTGGATAATATAGTAAGTAAATCGACAGAATTGAAAAAAATGTATAATTGATAACTATTTTAATGAACCAAATCGAATTTTTTAAAAAATGTACAGAAATTAAATTTGGATAATATGGTAAATAAATAGTAAATAAATATAGTAAGTAAATCGACAGAATTGAAAAAAATGTATAATTGATAACTATTTTAATGAACCATCATCATAATGGTAACCATTACGACTATCATGATCATCATCATCACAACAATCGCCATCATGATCATCATCATCATTATGACCTAACATCATCATTATCATAACCATCGCCGTGTAATCAACCAGATGAATGGACTAGATCGACTTTGGATGGCGGGACAAGATGTTCAGGCAGTTCGTTGGGCAGTTCGTGACCTTCGACCTTCAAACTGACCAGATGCATGGCCAATGCAAATTCATCAATGTCCAGCATTCCATCCCTATCCATGTCGGCCAGTTTCCAAACCTTTCCAAGAACTGAATTAGGCAGCCTGGATTTGATAAGTTCCGACTTGGCAGCTGCTCCAGTTATTTTTCCATTTACTGGGTTCAACGTCTGTTTGGATGAAAAAAATAATTTCATGTTTCTGTGTTGGGCATTGTTTGGAGATAAAAAGCAAATGTTTACAAACAGCAAAATAACTAAAATAACAAAATCCAACAAACACAGAATTGAAAACCAGTTAACAATAATCCAAACCAATCAATGACCACCAGCAACTCAACAACGACCACCAGCAACCCACTCACCTCAAAGATGGAGTCCCACTTGTACCTGTCCTTATTGACTACCCACTCTTCCTCACCCCTGCCCTTGTCGATGCCCTCCAACTGACCAATGCCAAATGGACTTTCTTTGTACGTTTCAAAGGCGCCCCCTGCAGCATAATAATGTTTAAGTTTTTACCATCAACATTTCAATTGTTGTCATCAACAATTCAATGGTTGCTATCAACAATTCTATTGTTGTCATCAATATTTCAATTGTTGCTATCAATAAATGTTTCAGTTGTTAAGATTGTTAACGAATGTAAGCATGGCTCTTAAAATTTTTTTTTTACAAAAGCAAATAAATAAAACATCCCGAGATAAATTAAATAACTCTTAAGAATTACCAAATAATAAAAAGCATTTGATGATAAAAATTCGCCATTAAATGTAAATGAAGCAATTTAAGAAATTATATTTTTAAATGATGAGAATTAAAATTAAACTTTTTATGGATGAACGTAGTTGACTAACAACAGCATTAAAAACGTTAGCTATGGTAACAAGACTATAATTGCAATGATGAGAGTGATGATATAGTCATGATAGTGACAATGACTAACAAATTTAACTCATTTAACATAACTCATTCAATTACAAAACAATTCGTACCCTGTGTAAAATAAAAGTTTGGGGAGATCAAAAAAATTTGGTTAAAATTATTTTAATATAATTAAGAAATTTATAAGTGTGTGTAAGTATATGTAAACGTACGTGTGTGTGTGTGTGTGTGTGTGTGTGTGTGTGTGTGTGCGTGTGTATGGGCGCGCGCGTGTTTGTCTGTGTGTATGTAGGTATGTGTGTGTGTGACAAAGTCATCAATGCACTTATAAAGAGATGTAATTGAATTATTTTTTTAAATGCTATAATAGGCTTGTAATTTCTACAAATTAATTTTAATTTTATTATCATGCATATGGTATGTATGTCTGTAGCGAGCTGTTTGTCTTTGCGTGCGTGCGTGCGTGTAGGTGGTTTTTGTAGCATTATATACTAATTACAAAGAGTTATATAACCATAGAAGTCATCTGCCTGTATAATTATTTAGAATCACCCTCTGATAAGCAGCAGCATTACTTTATTCATCTAATTAGCATATAATGACCAAATTTGAATATTATTATAATTATAGGAGCCAAATTATAATATGATAATGACTTGAATCAAACACTGCTAAATTTTTTTATTATTAGCAAATTGTTATTAAGTCCTTATCAAAATATAGCACAGCTTAAATAAATAAAAGAAAGAATGCAGCAAAATTAATCAACATCCAATAGAGAAAAACAATCAATTAAATTTAATAAAAATTAATTAATCAATTAATTAAAACTAATTAATAACGAAGCATTATTAACTAATGATTAATTAACCTTTAATATTATGACCATTACCAGTATTTTCCACTTTGTTGCTCTCCTCGATGGGAATCATACTCATGAGTGTGGCTATGTCCTGAGCCAGCATCTTGTCCACTGTCTCCAGCAGTTTGGGCTTCAGTACGTTGAACTTGTTGAAATCCTGCAAGTTTCATTGGTTGTTGATTGGTGGTTGATGATTGGCCGATGACTGATTGATTGATTGGTTGATAGATTGATTGATTGGTTGATAGATTGATTGAAAGATTGACTAAATGATTGATTGATCGATTAATTAATTAATTAATTAATTAATTGAATAATTGATTGACTTTCTAGTTGTTTCATTAGCTGGTTAATTGAGTGGCTGTTTGATAAGAATGGTCAATTGGTTTGATTGAATATGATGATTCAGTGACTGAAGTAGTTAGATTAAATGCTAGTTGCTAATTAAATGAATTTCGACGAATTTTAAATTAATCATACATAATGCAAAGCGTCTCCTTTGAAAGCACTATGTTAACAATAACTTATATAAAATACAATAACAGTATAACATAGCTAACATATCACATAACATTATATATGTATATGCAAGGTAACAACGAACAACTTATATATAATGTAACAACCTAGCAATGTACGTATATAATAACAAATAGAATATAACATAATCTAAGATGATCCTTACTAAAATTCTGAATATATGTATATGCTAATTAATTATTGAAAAGTAATTTGTTACAATTATATCATTTGTACATCGCCATCTTCATCATCAGTTCTTCAAAAGATTATTAACACTAAGACAAATTAAGGATCAACTTGAAATACATCAACATACAAATAAGATGACATTAATAACAAAATAACAACTACGTGATGAGGACGAAATGATGACATTACAAATAACAAGTTGATGACAGAAGATATAAACCACACGCTGAATGAAAAAATCAGCATTACAACTCTAGAGGTATTTTTTATCAAAGTATTTTTTTGTTTAGAGAATCAGTGGTTGATAAGTGTTACAAAAAATTAAAACAATAGGATAGAAATTGTGTTGACTTTGTGTGATAAAAGTGAAAAACTTAAAAAACTAACATTTTAAACCGAAAATAATACCAGAAAATGTTTAGGTCTAGTAAAACAATAAAATAAAATGTATAAAGAGATCTGCTTCAGCACTAATGACTGTCTTAAATGATGGAATTCATCACATTCAGTTCATATTTATAGACCATGGCATTCTATATTAGAACTTTAAATACATATTAGTTTCGTTTAAGAAAAAAAAACTGTTAAATATGCATCATCATCATCATCATTCATTTCCATTAGAATCACCAGGCAAGTTATTAATACTATTATTAATAACTGCTCAACAGAAATGAACAAAACATTTCGGTGAAAGAGAAATAACAATAAATATCAAAGGAAATATAACATGCCTTACTTATACAATGAATGTATAAGTATAATGTTGTTATGTATTGTATTAATTAATTAATTAATGACATATGTAACTGGATTAAGCATACATACTAACTTAAAATTATACCTGTGTGTACGTGTGCGTGTGTGCGTGTGTTAATAAAGAAAACACGGTAACAGTCATATTCTACATATTCTACTGTAACAAACAATCCATGCTACTTAATAGATACCAGCAATGCAACATTCACACAAACCACAATAGTTACACCAGTTAATTTACTGATCCTAAATTATTATCTTACACTATCTGATTGAAATGGGGAATGATAATAAATGAATTTTATTCAAAATGAAAATTTTCAACTGGAAAAATTTTTAACAAAAAATTTAAAAATAATTCCATATTTAGAGAAAAGACTAATGAAGAAATATACAAAGAATTTTGTTGAGCATTGTACTACAATGTGCGTTTAAAAAATGGCATAAATACGTATATATTTAAGGCAATTGTAACATGGTACAATGGCAAATAAAGGAGAGTAGTATGGACATATAACAAGATATCCTAAAACAAAGATATCTAGTGATAATATTAATATAGTTTGTCACATACCTAACAGGCAATTTAACTAATTCAGTTAACTAATGTAAACCCAACCAAATTCACCACAGCCGATACCAACATGTTTCTAGAGAATTGCAAAAAATAATAATAATGATGAAATGATGATGAAAAAAAGATGATGACGACATGAAAATGACGAAATTATAATGTTGATGACGATGATTGAGTGCATTGTTTTATAATTTGAAAAAAATTCTCTGCAACTTTCAATCAATAGCATAATAAATATAAAACAATTAACTTTTACAAACTTATCTCTCTCTCTCTCTCTCCTCTCTCTCTCTCTCTCATATTGTATATGTATAAATAATGTAATAGGCACAACAGCAAGTTATAACTGTTAAAGCCTTAAGTAATTTAACAAGCACCTTACTCCTGTCATTGGAACACGCGTACACGCACGCACATAGGCACACACAATGTACACCAACACGCACACCACACGTCACCACATATACAGAATAGACAAAATAGAATAAATCAAAATAGATAAAACAAAAACACATTCTACTACAAAGAAAAAATCTCTCCAAAGCTATGCTTAATAAGCATACCCACCATACACAAACACATGCATGCACACATACATGCACTTAGAAACATGATGCATGCATACAAAGACAAGCATACATGACAACGCACACTAAACACAAAAACATATGATTAAACAATAAACATACATAGTACAGATACAAGTCATTGTATACATGACTTAAGCTGTATTGTTGTAAGTTAAGATATCTGGCCCATATAAATCTATGTTTAGTAGAATCTGAAGAAACTATACCAAACCGCATTACACTGCACACATAAATGGGCACATTTTTGAGAATTCTAAAGAAACAAACATCTCAATCCCAACATTTCAAAGAATAACGCACGAAAACAAGTGCATGCATACAATGACATAACCAACATGTGTGCAAACCATGCAACAACGTACAGTTGATTATGTATCAAATGTGTAATAAAATTTCAAATAGTACAAGATAAAACACACAACATAGGATAACAACAAAACAACAACAACATACAACAACAACGGCGGCTTACATGATTGACTAATTGCTCTTGCATTCGATGGATGTCAGGGAAATCCCCGGGCGAGATGTGGTTCTCCCTCTGAATGGAGGCGTAGATTTCGGGCAGCTTGGCAATCAGCTCCTTCTTGCGCATGTCCTTACCAAACATGGAAGGCATCTCTTTCTTCAAGTGGCTAATCAGATGAGCGTGAACCTTTAGTTGTTCATTCAAGTTTGTTATTAATTAGTTCATTTGGTTATTAATTAGTCTATTCATTTGATAGATTAGCATAATTTATTAATTAATTAATTTATTCATTCATTTGTTTACTGAACAGATTAATTGATCAAAGTGTATAGAATCTGAAAACATTAAAACAATTTAAAACAATATAAAATTAAAATATTAGAAATGGATGTAGTTTAGTTGTCAGAGAAAAAAGACTAAAAAAGATTAACATTTTAGAGATCCTGTTATCTTTTTTGGCCATATTTTATGTAAAATACAACTTGTGTCAATGTAGTTTCCAACAGTCATACATTTGTACTAAAATAATTGTAAGTACCAGTAGAGGCTTACTTGTTTTAATATAATGTAATCAGTGGTAGTAATGGTAGTGTTTACAATTAATAATTACAATATTTATAGGAAAGAAAATTACCAGAGATAATAGTGCAAAAGATAAAAAATGATAATTGCTAGTACATTACTAATTGATGCAATTTCCAATATCAAACATTCAATAAACAGTTGCAGAGGACAATTTTTTAGAATAATTGCCTGCATACACAAATTCATCAGCAACACTTACATCATTTGTTAAAATGCTAATGAAAACATGCCATGAGACATGTCAGTCATGAAAGACACAGTAGAAGAATGGGAAAACCATATTTCTGTTGGAATGAAATGTTGAGATTTTCTTCTTAACCAACCAACCAGCCAGCCAATCAGCATCAGCAGCAGAAATATCAACTTAACTCATGTTCACACTGAATGACAGCTTTCAAGGATGTAATTAGATAAAGGAATGAAAGAAAAAGGAAGAATGGTTGATGAAAGAATAACTGAACAGCATTAAAATAAAGAGTTAAATACACTACATTTGACAAATTATTATGTGTTGTTGTTAGGTAAAATAAATGACCAAATGAAATGAATGACATAGTAAATTAGGAAATGATTTCAATTTGATGATTAATTAAATGAATATTTATGATTATATAACAAAATAGAAAGATTTTAAAATAATGAGAACTGTTCATATGCTAACTGAAACTGAATAAATACATTGAAAATATAATTTATAAAATGCTTCTTAAATTTTAAGAAGCAAATTGTATAAAATCAATGCATTCACTACATAGCTTCTTATTCATGCTTGAATGTAAAATTTCTTACAATAACATAAACCTGGTACTTAATTTGTACAAAATCTTTTCTCAGATAAGAACTCAAGAAAGTACCACTACTTGTTATTCATGAAACATTCAAGTTGTGATAGAAATATTAAAACAATTTAAGGAAATTAACTTCCCTTATTTTATCTTCTCTAACAAAAAATCATCTTCAGTCACTCATGACTGATACACATCAGCAGCAACATTTCGTAATATTTGAATGTTAAATGTTGAATTCTATAAAATTCTTGCAATGAAATGAAAAATGTTCTAACCTTAGCCAGACGGGCTCTCTTGATTAGGTCGTTCAGTTTTCTCAAGGCAGCATTTTTTGGAAGGCTATGAAAGTCTTTGAACAGATCATGTTCTTCTAATTGAAATAATGATCTATTTGTGTCACACTGCAGTGGTTTGTTCCAGAACGATCCAATGTAGACACGAACAACTTCTGGTGTGTTGAAAACTTTTCCTAGGGACCACATCAGCGCTCCATAGACCCTCATAAGTTGCTGATGATCAACCATGTCTGCCTTATTTAATATGATTCTAATTTTGTCATCATAGCCTTTTATACCCTCTATGACTCGACGAAATTCATCTGAAATATCAAGTTTGTGAGCATCGAATAGGAGTATGATTCGATCAACACGTTCTGCGAACCATTCTATGACTCCAGCAAAGTCATACCCCCTTTCAACTCTTTGTTTTTCCCCAGAGAGAATGCCTGGAGTGTCAACTATGGAGATGCTGTTGAGGACAGGATTGGGCAACGTAGAACATTGAAAACGGTTTAGGAATGCATTACCAAATCTAGAAAGTTGTCGAAATTGTTTCTTTGGGTCGACAACGAGAGCATTGCCAGGTACAACACCCTCTGTATCCCCACCCATGACTACAATGAAACGATCAGTTGTCGGCTCAGGTCCAATTCTAAGACCCGGAAATTCCATTTCAAGTAGATACTTGATGAATGTTGTTTTACCAGTGGAGTACTGGCCAATGAGCAGGACCATGGGTTTCGCATCAAAGTCTGCATCTTCCAACGGAGGAGAGTGAAAATCATGAAATTTGTAGAATTCTTCAAGGGGCAGAAGTTTCTGCCTGTATATTTTCTTCAGACCGTCGGCCACACTGTCTAACACATCCTCCTTTTTCTTATCATGCTCCTTTTGCAGCCAACTAAACATTTTTCGGTGACTTTTGAACAAATTTTTAGACTATTTACAATATTTTAATTAAATTTTTAAAATGTTCACAAGCCAAAAAGACTTCGAAAATAAAATTTTAGTCGCGTTTAATAAAGTGGGTGGTACTTAGAAAATAAGATTTTAATAAAAAACGAATGAAACTAATATGCGGAAGACAGCAGTGTGTAAACCATAGACACGAGACTTCACAAGCCTCAACTTTTATAGGCAATTATGTATCAATGTGTGATGAATATATAGATAGATAGTCATCTGATCAACACTAACGCACATTTTATTGAGTAAAATATGGACAAATTTAATGAAGCTCTAGTAAAATGTGAACATTTTTAGAAGAATCCAAACCTTGTTTCATCAATTGACTCTCTTGAACCCATTGTTGAACAAGTACGTCCCATACATACGTTTATTTATTCATTTATTTTTATTGCATAATTTAATTTATAAATAATTGATATAATAAAAATTCCATTTCAACAAAAAAAGACACTGCAGAGCTGCTAAATGATTTATAATTTTTTAAACTAAATTGTTTATCCTACACCATGGAATTTGTATTATATGTTATATGTACTTGATATACTCATAGAAACAGAAAATGGATGAAACATTTGCCCTATTGTTGCACGCTATCCTGGTACACATTTGAGTACTATTCAAAGATACAAATTCAGCAACAAATACACATTTATTTTATCGAAATCAATTCTTTAAATTTTAAATTATAACCATTCCAACGTTAAATTGTAATAGACAAAAGTCTGTGATAAGAAAATATGAAGCAATTTAAATCAGTTTTAATAAAAATCTTCAGCCTTATCCAAAACACCAAAAATAAGTTCAATTATCTTTACCTTGATTAACGATTAGTGGCGTAATAAAGCCATCTGAACAATGTCATTTTCTACTTCTATTCATCTCTTAAAATCTTTCAACTCTACCGTCATCTCTCTCGACATTTTTAAGTTTTTCTTATATTTGATTATTTAACTAATAAATATAATACAATTGAATATTAAATTAATACAAATAAATACAATTTTATTCTCGTGTACACTTCCGTGTGTTAGATAAAGCAAAAAATGCAGACAAGATCTAGCAATATTAGCATTTGTACCAAAAGGACCACTAGTACTAATATTATTCTCATTTCTGGTACGTTACCGTAACTCTTTTTTTCTTTACTACACCTGGCAAGGCAATTTAGCAAATAAATTTACCCACAAAATCATGAAAGTGAATTGGTTTTAGATGTGGAAACTTCATTTAACGTAATTGCTATGCCAGTTGCTGAAATGTTGTTCACTTCATATTTGTAATAAAAAAGACCTAAAAAGTAGGTTCATTAGAAATAAATTATTAATTCTTGTCAATGATTAAGCATTTGCTCGAGCCAGTAAATGTGATTCTTAATGAAAATGATCACGTTATTTTTTGTATTGTGATCACATTCTGTTGGGTGATTTTTTTATACATAATTCTACGTGTATGTATGTAACGTACACCCTTCGAAAAATTGTAGCTTACAATGGCACATTTAACCCAAATGGAGGGTCTTTTGAAAATTTTAAAATCTGAAAACCATCAAATAATCAAATATTTCAGTGGATTCATGGCTATAGGTACGTAGTATAAGTAGTGGATTTTTGGATAGGTAGGTAGCATAAATTGAGGGCATGGTTTCCGATAGAAAAAAACATGAATTGTACACTTTCCAGGTTGTCTGAGTGAGTGGTCAAATTTACGATTATAAAAATGAATGAATGAATGAATGAATGAATGAATGAATGAATGAATGAATGAATGAATGAATGAATGAATGAATGAATGAATGAATGAATGAATGAATGAATGAATGAATGAATGGAACGAAGGCCATCGGATTAAAGGTACTGGCTGACGTGCGACAGAACGTTTAACGTCCTCTGTTAGTAAAATTCATTTAGCATCGCTGTTGAACATCAGCTTTGATTGCATGATTGTTTCCAAATATGAAAACATATCTTTATGAAACATCCACATCATTAATTTCTATGTTGTTGTTATTATAAGTTCAAATTTAGAAGCCATTAAGACGTGTAAAGTTCAATGTTAAACCGCGTGCATCCTGTCAGGTAATCACCGTTGTTAATGCATTCTCAAGTGCAACAGTCACTCATTCGTAGTCACGTATACGCACGTTTCTCTGATTGTTTATGTCTGGTAATGAGCGTAAAATTAGCTCGTTTTGGTAATTGAATACATAATTAAATAAACTTAGATGAATTATAAAAAAGATATGCGAAAAAAACATCGTAATTTTATTTTTTCTAATTTTTGTAACTCTTAATTGTTGCCATAAAATAAACCCAAAGACCAAACGTTTCATACACAACATTCGACGAACGCCAACGACGTCCGTCGTTTCTAGCGTTTTTTTAAAGCTTTTATTTCAATTTCAATTCAAGTGGGTTTACGAACAGATCATATCCCAAGGGAATTTAAAAATAGCTCTAATTATAGTTTATTTATTGACACATAAACTATTACATGTATAACGATAACGTCTATAGATTATTAGTAGAGATAGATAGACATATGCATGTACCATGTATGAGTATTCAATTTATGGTAATCTCTATAGTAGTGTGTTGTAAAGTATAGAGAACAACAATTACACGCCAGTCATACGTCATAGAGAGCCCGGTGGTGTACGTGATTATGTGCATTAGTTTCAGTGCAGATGTAACTACTGTATGGTCCTATGTATGTATAAGAAGAATGATCAATAATAGCTGCAACAATAATAAAAATGTTACTAGTAGTCAAAATCATTTCACGTCTGCAAGTGATTCATCTCTATCTTTACTTTCACAACTCCAAACTGCTACTACTGATGGTGATATATTCTCATATGATGAAAATAATCATGTCTTGGATGAAGCATTTAACACATTTGTTGATCCACCAGTAAACCTTAATTCTATTTTCTATCAGTGTAATCTTGGGAGCAACAATGATCATCTAAACAGTTCTTTTTCAAGTAATAATAATAACGATAATAATGAGTTATTTCTTGATTGGAATTCTGGCAGAAACATAACTGAGGTTATTAATTTTGAGTTAAAAAATTTAATAGATAGAGATGATTTGAACAATACTTCTCCAATTAATACTAACATCAACAACAGCAACATCAGTAGTAATAATTTAATCATTGATGCTGTTGACCCTTACCTCAATTTCTTTGCTGAAGACCTCCCAACCAGTTTGAGTTTATTCCCAGATGTCATACCTCTCACCTCAAATCATCATATGGAAATTGAAACTTGCAAAAATGTTGATTTGCCTAACTCCACCAATGTCCAGTTAGATATAAACTTCAACAATCTGCCATGCATTGTTCAAAATTTGAATCATATGCATAAGAAACATTCTCAAGTTTTAAAGAGGCATGCCTCTTCCATTGCTGATGACAACATTCCAAAAAAAATGACTGGCTTCCAGCAACAAAAGCAACATTTTGGAATCAATTTTTATAATTCACAACAACAGCAACAACAATTTTCTAATGAAAAACAGTTAAAAGCTCAGCTGGCTCAACTGCAACAACCACAACAACCACAGCTGCTGCAACAAAAGTCGCCTCAACTAATCCAACAGCAGCAACAACAGCCACACCAACTACAACAACATCAACAGCCAGCTCATTTAAAACATCAACAGCAACCTCAGCCACAACATTATCTACAGCCACAACAACTAACACAACATCAAAAGCTACATCAGCAACATCAACAACAATCTCAACAACATCAGCATTCTCAACAACTGTCGCAACATCAGCAACATATTTATGGACAGCAGCACAACCCACAACAAAGTGCTCTAAAGGTTGCTGACTTGCATGTTAGTCCTCAACAGTATCCATTTGATTTGCAACAACATATTCAACGACATGCACAGCAACCATCACAACATCAACAGCATTCACAGCAACCACAGTCTCAACAACATTCACAGCTACTACCACAAAATCAGCAGCAACAACTTCAGCAGCTGCAACAGTTAACACAACATCAACAACTGTCACCACCACAGCACCAGCAGCTCCAGCAACAACTATTTACATTCCAACCTGAGCATCAACCTTTACTATTTTCTCATCAAAATTTAGAAACTGAGCAAGAGTCCAAGTCAATTGAAGATGAATTTCTTTCGACATTCTTTGACTCAACCATCAACAAAGTTGTTGAAAATAATGAAATGCCTAATTTGAACTTTATAAATGCAAATATTCTTGACACAACACAGGAAGATGTGTTTAATTTGACATTCACAGATGCACCAGCTGCCACTAATCAGTTTAACTTGAAGCAAAATGTATCCAATTTGCATCAACATCAGCAACAAGACTTGACAACTGCGCAACTACTTAGAGCATCATTACAACAACAGCTGTCATTACTAACTACTTCAACAAATGATGAAAATTCACTTGAAAACAATCACACTGTCTCTTCTATTCAAAAATCTCAACAGCTTCAACAAAATCAACATCAGCAGCAAAATCAGCAGTCACAACAAACTCAACATTTACAACAGCAGCTATCACAACAGCAACGTTTGCAACAGCAACATCAGCTAGTGAAACAGCCAACATTCCAACAACAAAGAGACATCCAAGAACAGAAAATATCAGATTACGCCTTCAACTGTCTCACAGAATATGATTTCTGCGTCCTTGACCATTTTCAGGGCAGCCAGAAATCTTTGAACCTTCTCAACGAAGTACAGAAGATCATAAATAGTCAAAGATTTGAGGATGGTCGTCTGATGGCGTCCAATCAGGACTCATTATCGGTGCGAGGGGATAAAATATTTTGGCTAGGTGATCTCAACATGACTCCATGCATCATGCAGTTGATTCAGAAGATGGCTAGGATAATCTTTAAGTTTAACGAGAGGCTCTCAAATGTCTGCATCAGGAGTCATTCCAAGGTTGGTACTGTTGGTGCGGTACTGTTGCAACTGTTGGTACTGTAATTGACACATTATGTTACATAATGTAGTTTTACATTGCATCATGTAGCACTGTTTTATTTGAAAATAACAAGCAGCCGATGCTAGCTTGCTACCCTGGATCTGGCGCTGGATACATGCGACACGTCGACAACTCCAACCAAGATGGCCGACTAATCACGTGCCTCTACTACCTCAATAAAGATTGGAATGCCAAGGTCGATGATGATGATGATGGTGGTGATGATGATGATGATGATGATGTTGATAATGACGTTGATGACGATGATGTACTATGACATATATTTTTTGTTCTTCATGTGATAAGCATTACATGAATAAATTCTGAATGGTTATTTCACTGACTCGTTTGACGCATGTACACAGGTTGATGGAGGAATGTTGAGATTGCATCCATCCATTAAGCATGAAAAAGTAGATGTGGAACCTCTTCTAGATAGGTAGGTAGCAATTCTCTATACGATATATCTATCTTTTTTCATTCACATTTTTATTTTAAAATCGTCTAAAATAAATTCAGAATTGCAATTTAGCCTCATAAATCTCTTAAATCTAGTTGAATAGCTACTGTCAAATTTGAAAATTTTGTACTTTGATTTTAAGATTGATGTTCTTACAGGTACCAAATTTGGTACCTCTTCTACCTTTAGCTTTATATTGACGAGTTATTATATTTTAAATGTTTTTTTTTTCCTACAAGGTTATTGTTATTCTGGTCAGATTGTAGAAATCCCCACGAGGTTCTACCTTCATTTAAAAACAGGTTCGTATGAATCATAAACATTTTAATAATTTATATGTGTGCGTGTGTGTGCATGTATATATGAAATTAGGATAGAATGATCGATATATCATGATAATTTCAGATATGCTATCACAGTTTGGTACTTTGACACAGAAGAACGAGAGCAGGCCAAACTAAAGCTTCAAGGTTGTTGAAGTTTTGAATTTCCACATAATTTAGAAAAAATTATATCAAATAATTTGTTTTTATTTATGATAAAAAAGTCATTCAATGTTATAACTTCATTCATTCGCTCATAGCTTCAGTCATTATCTTTTAACCTAAATTCATTACCTTATATCTTTTCCGTACATGTTACCTTTTAATTTTAATATTACCTAATGTTATAAAAAGATTAAGAATTGCTGACTTGATAAACTTTTCATTTCAGATTCTCAGAGGGAGTCTTCTAAATATGTACTACCCAATCAGGCATATCTATGATCAAACCCATGAATGAGATTAACACGCCAAACGTCATGTGGTGTGATGTTTACTGACGCCAACTATACTGATTGTAGTTTTCTATGTGTCGTTGTGTAGGCCAAATGTAGAAATCTTTACTTCAAAATATCAATTTTTGAGGAAAAATTCTGTTTCCATTCATTGTTTCATATCACATCCAACACGTGCAGCCCTGCCTATTTTTACAATACTGTAATAGCTGATCATCGTTGACTACTTAAATATATCTGCGTGTTTACCTAAAAATAAGTTAAGGTGCTATTATGAACCTTTTCGAAATTGTTTGCTTATGTTTTGATTTGACTTGTCAAATAACTAATTTTTTAGTCAACATTATGTCAGTTGATGTCTGCCCAATTTAACTTTGTTTTGTCTAAACCTTTTTAGGAAATTATCATATAAATCGTCATTATTCATATCCTCCTATCTATTTATTTGTATATGTATATATGGGAATGTACATGTGTATATGCTTTATTTTTATATAATTTTGTAAATTTTTTGATCAAATGACAACAACAAGCCTTATGTAATTAATGACCATTAATTTTTTTATTAACTTCAATGTGCATGCGTATAATTTTTACTCTTCCTTGGCTTCCCTGGCTTTCGGATTATCAAAGAGTTTATTTCAAGATTTGGTTTAACGGAGTAATTTCTTGAACAATGCCACTGCTGAGTCAAACATTGCTCTCTGACAATTTCAGACTTACTTTTTGTACCGGACACAAACTTGGCTTTTGGTCGAAGGAATTTCTTCACAATGGGTCCTGGGACCTACCTACGTGATCTGCGTTGTCTTTTATCCAATTTCGTAGATGGTTTAAACATCATCTTTTTGCCCAAGCTTACGCTTGCTAATGATTTTTTTCCATTCATTGCATTGCCTTAGTAAAGTGCTACGCAATGTACTGCAATAATTGTTGCGCCTCTGTGATCTTTTTAAAGGGCGCTTACAAACACACCAATAATAATAATACTTAATTTTTACCTGTTTTTGTTTTGTTCATATCTTAATATGATTAATTTGATGTTATAAATTGACAGCATTCTTCATAAAATTTTTTGACCAGTGAAAATTTATGAGTTCCGCGTTTTTTTATTAGTTTTTTCATGCGGTTATATTAATCTTCAGTATTTTTTATTTTAATTATCATTATTTGTTATCTTTATAGGAGTAATTATGTTTCATAAAGTTGATAATTCACATTGTTCATTGAGAAAAGTTTTAAGAAAATTGTAAAAATTTCATTTTTTGCTGCTACTGCATTTTCGACATTTACTGATCAAGTTCAGAATTTTTTTCATTATGATTGTAAATATATCTTTTGTTGATCTGTTCAAGAAAATCTAATAAATTGAATGTTTCGTACATTACAAGATGAGAACTACCTAGCGTCACTTTTCTCATATTGTTTTCAGTACTTAGGACGTTCTTGATATAATTTCATGTTCTTACTGCGAAGTCACTCATTTCAAACAATTGTTTTATTGCATTAAATTACAAATTTTTATACCATCTAAGAAGGATTTATTGTAGAGCAATTTTTTACGTTGCAGTTTTTAGTTTATTAATTGGTTTCAACTACTGCATATAATGTTTACGACGCTAATTTTATTAAAATTTTGAGATGTGCTGTCAAAACACAACAACAACAACACACGTTTAGACGGCATTTTCCCCGAGATCGGGGGTTGCCGTTTGGCTACCTATGATGAAACCGAAATACCCCTCGACTCCATCCACATCTGTCACTCGCCTCAGTATCACGCAACCCCGCTTTCACCCTGTCCTTCTCCACCTGCTCTCTCCATCCCAATCGCGGATGTGCTGTCAAATAAATGTAAAAAAATGGTTATTAGGATAATATAACATAACTGGCTTTAAAATGGTTGGTAGATTAAGTTCTGTGTGAAAACCACCACCACCACCACTAAAGTGCTCTAGTATCACAGCTCTCCGAGTTTCATCTTGAAACTGTTGGCTGGTTTTAAAGTGCATACATTCAAATATAAATCTTCATTGCCAAAACGTAAACTCTTACACTCAAAAACGTAAATACATCAAATTTATGGAGAGAAAAATTGTTGTTTTTTTTCATTCATTAATTGTTTAAAAGAAATTCAATATGGTTATAAATGAAAAATGTAGATGCAATGTGGGGCAATGTTGATGTTGATGCAATGTGGGGCAGCCTATGACGGGTGTCCCATTTTGAAGTGAATCAAAATTTAAGAAGTTTGTAATGATGATAAAGCCATTGCGAGAAGAATGAAAACTATATTACAAGCTGGACACTGCCAATGCTGTGGCATTCATTAGCGTTTGTATAGGTGCATATGCACGCAAATACAACATAAAATTAAGAAACACCGTAATTTGCAACGTCAAGTGCTCAATATTTAACTAATTTAAATAATGACTATCTATGAGCGATATTAAGTTTGTTGTCTTTCCATTTGTTACGATTGCGTTTGACCTTGTTTTTTTTACTGTTTTCTGCGAAAATTTGTGAAAACGACCGATAAATTAATTTGATATATTGCAGTAATGGCTGACCAATCTGACCCGCAACTTCAACGGTTCATGGAGATCGAGGCCCACAAGCAGAGGTTTCAGCAGGTGGTGCATGTGATGACGGAAGATTGCTGGGATACCTGCATGTCCGGAACTCCGGGGTCCAAACTTGATAGGAAATCGGAGAACTGCATTGTCAACTGTGTTGAACGATTTATAGGTAGGTCTTTCTTTTAAATTTAAGTTTTCAAGTTTTAAGACTTTTATTGTAGAAACAAAACTTTTTAGCTTATTTTTCAAGTTTAATAATCTTTTTTAACTAATAGTAGTCTAGTGTTTAGACTTGGGTTTGTTTGAATAGATTTTAGAGTTTAGAAGAGAACTCAGGCTTTTAATTAAATGTTTTTATAAAATTCTTTTCATATAATAAATTAATACAGACACCAGTAATTTTATTTTGAATCGACTGGAGAAGGAAGGGGAGCATCACATTGCCAGGGAAACCTCAGATCTCTCTGATAGACAATCAGAATTTAAATGGAACTAACTAATTTTTTTTATATAGTTGTGTCGAAAACATGTGTCTGTTAAAAAACAATTTTGCACTTTTGGTTGTTTGGATTAAATAAAAGTTTATAAAGTTAAATGCCTAACATTATTCAATGAAACAAAGACATAAAAGAAACTACATTAATCTATTTACATCATAAAATGCATCTTAAAATGCAAAAATATTTACAGTGATTTTTAAATAAATTAGTTAAAATAGTTAAGGATTCATTTTTGCTTTATTGGCTTCAGCTTGCTGTTGGGATCGTGCCTCTTCCAACATTTGCTGTTGCTTTTTAAATTGTATCTCCGTGAATGTTGCCATTAAAACCTTGTTACTGGAAATGAATTTGCCACCACAATGGTCCACACAACTTGTCTATAAGTATAAGATGTAGTTTGAAATATAATAAACTAAAATTCTAATGATTGATCTAAGTGTTATTATATTATAATAATTATAAGAATGTAAAATACAAAATACCTCATCTGGAGTGAAACGAAACCCATTCATATTTGAAATACATTTACTAAAGCACAACTCTGTCACTTTGTTGTAGGTCTTACACATATCTTGCAACTAAGGGAATGCAATGACAATGAGTAATTAATAAAAACAGAATTTCAAATGCAAAACAAATTAAACTTTTATTAAAGTATAACTATTGAGTATTGAATTATTATAATTATTATTAAAATTTAAAATTATTTATCTACTCTATTCATTCTAATTCTGTGTAAATGTTAACTATGTATACTATGTTATTCCTTTAAAAAAAAACTAGTGATGACGACAAAAGAAATGCGAAACACGTGCTGACACGATTATTTATTTTAAAATTAATTAAATTAAAATTGATTAAATCACAACTTACTTAATTTTAATAAAATGAAAAAAAAACAAGAAGACATACACTGCTGATGCTTCTGTCATCTAGAGGAATTCCGTAACGAGACATTTTTATTTTTGAAAAATTAATTTATTTTTAAATATCAATCGCCTAACCGAACATATAAGTTAGTGTCACGATTTACCAAGCATGTTGTTATTGTTATGACTTTATGGAAAGCTCGATGTCAACAATTCGATAACGTTGAATTTTTTTGGTGTTTTATTAGGTAGAAACACCCGCAAACTAATAGACCGCGTAACTATTATAAAACCAATATAAAATTATTTTTATGAATTTTTTATGTGATAAAAATTAATAATTTTATTTAATGTATTAAAAATTAAATAAATGTTTTGTTAATTAATTTCTACCCATTGATATATATATATATATATATATATATATATCCATGCTTTTACGTTTTGTTACTATATTTCAAATTTCATTCTAAAAAGCTTCCATACTCCCATCACTGTCATCAATTTAACTTCAATTTGGCGCTTTCGTGTCACGTGGTTGATTTTTGCACTAGATTTTGTTTAGTTTTTGTTTTTAAATTAATTAAAGTTTAATTTTTTAGTTTAATGATTTAAGTTTGCAATTTTTATTAATTTGTAATAAATTGTGTTTTAATCAATTTTTTGTTTTTTAATTGATTGAAGAATTTTTTAATTTACTGGCAAATGAATTTCTCTTTTTAAATTCTAAGTTCAGTAAGAAATAAAAAAATTAAAAATACTAACAATATTGAAAGAAAACCTTTAAAATTTTGAATAGAAATAAATCGCGAAATGTTTCTCAAGAATGGATTGTCAAATTATTTAAAAGATGTGGTTAAAGATGGTCTAGATTGGCTGGATGAGTGCTTGAAATCTCATCAAAATCAAAAGTTAGTTTTTTTAGTTATTTTATTAGAATTTATATTTTAATTAATAATAAAATTATATCACCTATAATTATTTTTCTAGTTAATACGCTTGAAAAAATGAAATATTAATAAAAAATAACCTGAAAGTTAAATGAAAAATTTTCATAGATGTTCAGAAGACATAAAATCCAAAATCATATTGTTGACTCCCACAAAGAAGCCACAGACAAGAAATGAAGTGAGAAAAAGACAGCAACAGCTGGAATTGTTGATGAATGTTTCAGCTAGAGCAAATGACAAAACACCACCAAATTGCTTGCCAAAGAGTAAGAGAATAAAACTCAAAGAATCACCAGTTTATCTCAATGGTTCTAACATTCTCACTACTAAGAATACAAATTTGTGTGAGGCTTCATTTTTGGACTTTTTAAACTTTTTTCTATTAATTAAGAGTTATTTATAAAACATTTTTTATAGAATTGTCATTGAACTTTTAATCATAAAATTTATTTCAATTTGTTTGTTTACAGGTGCAGAAGAAAACACAGTTGAAAAAGATTCTAAGAAGGACCTTCTGCAGCAAAAGTTGCCAAAATGTCAGCCAAAAAATGTGACTAAAGATTGTGCTATCTTACTGTCACCTCTCAACAGCCAGCAGCAAAACAACAACAAAAGAAAAGTCGCGGAAACTAACAACAAAAATGTTAAAATTCGAAAGGTTGAGGTTGACATTATTGAAAATGTGGATGGTGTTGATGGTCACCATTTGAATGTTCTGAAAAATAAAACAAATGAAATAGATGGGACCAATAAACGATCAAAACAAGGCAGGAATATAGAAGCCAAAAAGCAGAAGGAAAAGGTAGTGATGAACCTTTCAATAATGAAAAACTCAACACCAAGGCAGAAACCCTTAACAAGAAATCAAGCAAGGAAAAAAGAACAACAACAACAGCAACAACTTCAGCAGCAACAACTTCAGCCGCAACAACCTCAGCAGGTAGAATATACAAAGCCCTCATCAACAAAGTCATCTAGACTGAGAACAACGAAAAATCTGCAGAAACAAAATTTGTTTAAACAAAATTATCAACGACAGCAACAAATTTCATTCCTTCATTCTACTCTGATTTCTGAATTTACTGGCAAAGATCTAGGTCTGTTATCATTTGCTCTGCTGTTGTTGTTGATGGTGCTCTTTCAAAATATTGTTACTAACATAATTTTTCTAACATGACTTTTTATGAAACTGATGCAATTTGAAATTTTTCTAACAGTCACCAAGAAGAAAGTCAGTTCAAAAAAGATGAGAGAACAGCATGTGAAGAGTAAGAAAACTAAAGGAACAGTAAAAGCAGTGAATGAAAATGAACAATTCAACTCCTCTTCATTGAAGGATTGTCAGGTTGTCATCAGCCCTATCAAGCATACTAAACTGATGGTGATGAAACAAGTTGTAGATGATGATATCAATGATAACAATGATGATAATGTATCTAGTATCAGTAAAAGGTCTAAACTAATCAAAAATAACTTCAATGAAAAGAATGTGAAACAGTCTAGAGTTAAATTGTTAGATGTTTTGAGGGAGGTCGAGGATAATAATGATACCATAGTTTGCTCTGGTGGCGGTTTTGGCATTGATGAGGATTGCTATCGGGCTAGCGACAATGATATTAACAAAAGTATCCACACTATCAATGGCAAAGCTAACCACAAACATTCTGTTGATGCCAGTTGCAAAGGTCCTACCAATGATCAACAAAATAATTTAAAAAAATGTAAGAAAAATATTAACCCAGGGTCCAAGAACAATAAGAAGAACAATAAAAAAATAGGCCCTCCTATGAATAATGACATTAATGCCGATCATTCTGAATGTGAAGCAGAAGTTGTGTATGTTGTCGATAAATGTGTTTTTGTCGATATGGGAGATGACACTCTTGTTGATCGGGAGAGTGCTTACTTTGATGCAGCTGATAATATTGATAATAATAATAGCCCACTTTGCAGTAAAAAGACCTGTCAAAATGCTGACATACCTAATGATAATATAGATAATAATAACGGTGGTGATATGAGTGATCGTACAAATGAGGTAAAATCGGACATGGCTGCTGTTGCAAAAGATGAGGATGATAAAAACGAAGATGTTGCTACAGCTTGCGACAATGATGAAATTGTCATTGAAATAGATTGCCCCACTGATGATGATGGTGGTGATGGTGGTATGGGAGGGAATGAGAAAGTGAACGATGTACAATCTTTCCTAGATGTGATTGGCAACATCAATAAACAAGTTGTTGACAGTGAAAAAGTCAGTGATAAAATCGATGATGAAGATGATGAGGTGGACGATGAAGATGAGATTGGCAGCAGTCACCAGGATATCAGTGTTAACATCAATAAATTTGTTGTAAGCAATGAAAACGTTGAAGATTATTTTGTGAAAAATGATAACATTAATGCTACAGATGATAGTAACATTATTGTTAACACTGACAGCGGTGATAACAGAAGTGCTAACGATACATTCACAGATGAAAATGTTAATCATGTCAACAACAACAAGGAAGACAGTCAGGTAATTTATTCCTACAGTGCGACTACAGATACTCCCTCGTCAGCTGCTACAAACATGTCTTCATATACAACAACATCATTTAAAAATAATGCCAGCGTTCCTGTCGTCAGTAATTTGACTATGACCTCTCCAAACTACTCGACGTCGAGTCACAGTAATGTTAACAGGTGATTCATTCATTGTACTTTCATGATTATTTGTAACGATTTTCATCCGAACATGAACATGATGTGATATGAGATGCTAGGCTTATGGATGTGTTACATATTTCTTTTTTGTAGAACCAAATCCGTTGAAAATAATAATTTTTTTATGCATTTCCAAAAATAATTTTTATCAAAAGAAGTTCAGTTGTATGTCTTTAATTGGACTACCTTGCTATTGTGTATTTCTGTTATAAAGTATTTTTATATATTTTTTTTCTTTTGCTATCTGATTCATATAATATAAATAATGCTCTAAAACATGGATTATAACTACATTAATAAGTTGTATTAAAAAAATTTTTCAAGTTACGACATGACACCATCAAGAAAAATCTACCAAAAGTCCACAGAGACTAATTACAACATCAACGACCTCTCTTCAGATGACAGTTCAGATGACGAGGAGAACCCCAGAAAAACTATCCCATCATGGGCCAAAGGTCAAACAATTTTATATTTAATATGTACTATTTAAATTACTACGTCCTACCTCGGGAAATCGGGTCTCTGGACGCATAATGAAGATTGATTGATTGATTGATTGATTTAAATTACTATTAAATAGTTGACAAAAAGAATTTATAGTTTAATAATGTGGAGATGCGAAAACTGAATATTTTCAATGATGAAGATTTACTGCAGCACTTATTGTTTTTAACTCTATTTTAAAAGTTATTGGCTAACTACTTAAAATTTATGACTAATTTTTTGGCTTATTGTCAAATATTAAACCCATTGTTACATATATTTATTTTTCTAATGAGTAAACCATTCAACTTAAAAATCGTATGTACATGAACATGTATATCTGCTTTGCAGGGCGAGAACTTCAGAAACTCATTGAAGCAACAAACTGCGTTCCATTTGATCAGGCCTGTGACTACTTCTCAACAGATTTCTGCCCCGACCTTGCCCAAATATTTCCCAAATCACGCAAGGTCCCAAGGTTAAAGAGGACAAGTTCAGCTCATTGGGACACTCCACCATACAAACGAATCTGTTATAATAATAATAGTAATAGCAATTGATTCAATTCGAAATAAAACAATTCTTTTTACATTCTACGAAATTTATTTAATTTGTAATATAAGCCAGCTTTAAATTAGGCATCGTTGTCTTTCTGTAACTTATATATGGTAGTATGTTTTAAAATTTGTAATAAAAATTGTCGAAGAAATTATGCATTGGATTGATTAATCACTTTGCCTTCATTTTTTGTATCAATAAATATGTTCCATTTAGCTATATATTTGCTGGTTTACGATTCGCTAAATTATTTGAAATATCCTAAATACTGTTCAATTCGTGTGCTAAGTAAGCTTATTGTATTTTTTGTTCGAACGTGTAACGTTGACGTTTCATAATTAACACGTTCTATAAATGGCTTTTAATGGTGCCTAGTTGCCCCGACCATATTAATTAATCAATTAATGACTAGTTAATTAATTACCTAGTCATGGCCATGTCATGCAATAATCAGATTTAAACTTATTAGGATTAAGAATGTCTGTCCCACAGATGTCGGCACGACACTGACCACAAGAGGAAAGGTCGCTTCATTTTCTGTGGCTTCGATCTCATCAACAAGTGGCGGTCAAATGTTAACCACGTAACAGTCAACTATGGCATGATTGTTGATTTTTTTTGATCTGCGCGAACCTGATTTCTGCTAGCTAATAAAGCAATCGCATGGTTTTATTTGAGGTGTTTTTTACCATCAACATTTTTTTAATGACATATTTTGCTCACATTTTAACAAGTTGTAAACAAAAAAATTTTGAAGCATATTTTGTAATTTTAAAATTACGTGAATAATCGGTCTTACAAGCCCGTGCGAATGAGGCGAATGATTTGTATTTATCGTTTTGTTTACATCTAGGCAACTCTATCACGTGATTAAGACACCTGTGGTGAACGAAATAAATAACATAAGCGATCAGCTGTGTACGAGCCTGTCAAGATTAACGAGGCCTGAAACTAGTACAACGAGTTTATTTAAAGTTTAGAAAATGTCACTGCAGAATGAAATGAATAAACTATTTTCCTCCTTTATTTTTTAGTTCGATTTTAATATGGATTTGTATATTTTTCCTGTCTTTCTAATTTTCCTGGCAAAGCAATTTATTGCAAATGCTGAAGGAAGTCCTCACCACAGTAGCAAAACCAACGTGATAATTTTTATAGTTGATGACTTAGGTTACGGGGATCTTGGTGCTTTTGGCAATGACACTATTAAAACACCAAACATAGACAAGATAGCTGCCGAAGGTGCCACATTGGTGCACCATCTGGCAGCTGACAGTCTGTGCACACCTAGTAGGGCAGCTCTTCTAACTGGAAGATATCCCATCAGATCTGGTCGGTTTTTTATTAATAACGTTCTGTGCACATTTTTTATTATAATTTTTACCATTGTATGCATTGCATTTTCTCATATTTATTCATATTCATTCTAAGAATGCATAAGACATCACTCACTGTATTTCATACAACCTAGGCATGGCATGTCACAATGATGCATTCCCTGTGATCATCTTTAGTTCAAGCTCCGGAGGACTTACTCAAAATGAAACTACCATTGCCAGATTAGCAAAACATTATAACTACTCTACTGGATTTTTTGGTCTGTGCTTTTTAAGTACATTGTTGAAATATTTATGGTTATAAAGTTATAAACTAAAAAGTTTGTTGCGTTTTGAAAATGTCACCAGGAAAATGGCATCTGGGATTGAGTTGCAACGATGCCCACGACTTCTGTCACCATCCCATGAAACATGGATTTGACACGTTTTATGGATTTCCTATGACTAACATGGCTGACTATGGCCCTGAAGGTGGTGGATTGTGGGGTTACTCAGCCATATCCGGTAGACGGAGTTTTACTTTGAAATTATTCTTCAGAACCTTTCTAACATCAGTAATCATCAGCTACTTCCTGCTCAAGAGAAGGTTGATTAAAAGAAGAACAATAATAGTATTAAATCTGATGTTGCATGTACCGTTTTTGTATATGATTTGGCACATTTGCAACATGAAACTCATCAACAGCATGGTAATGAAAGATTACACCGTCATTGAACAACCAGTAAGATTTGGTAGTCTAACTAAACGTCTGGTGGATCAAAGTGTCAGTTTTATTGAACAGAAAGTTCAGAATAATGAACCATTTTTCACTGTGATTAGTTGGTTTCAAGTGGGTAAAAAATCAAATTTTCCAAGAGACACTGTCGTTATTATATTAATGTTTAGCTCGTTCATGTTTCAGTTTTCTTGTAAACATTCTCATAACCAATATTTTTAACATTTATGATTGTTTCTTACACTCATCGTTATTGTTTTATTGAAAACAGGTTCACACTTATTTGAACACTTCAAATAACTTCCAAAATCATTCTGCTTTCGGGCAGTACGGCGACAACGTGGAGGAAATGGATTGGGGAGTTGGTGCTGTCATGGAAGCGCTTGAGAGGTTGAAAATCAGTGAAAATACCTTCGTATATTTGACCTCTGACAATGGAGGGTTGACCTCGGAAACTGGTCCAGGAGGTGGCTGTCATGGGGGATACAATGGCATTCTCAGAGGTTGTCAGAAATTTCTTTCATTCAATTTTTTATCTTTCTTGCAATTAGCATGATATTTCTCACTTTTAGAAAAATCTCGCCCAATCTTTTATTTATATTTCTCAAATAATTCGAAAAGTTTTTCTAGAGAGGTGTGAATAACAATGATTCAGGATGTAAAGGCCAGTCAGTGATGGACGGCGGTATCAGAGTACCAGCTGTGGCCAGATGGAAAAACAAAATTCAACCAAACACGATCATCAGCACACCCACAAGCTTGATGGATATTTTGCCTACTATAACTGAGTCAATATTCAAAAGAGAAGCTCGAGAAATTGAGCTGAAACAGAAAACCAATGATATCTACAGTGAGTTGATTCTAGATGGAAAAAATATTGAGCCACTCTTAACAGGATCTTCAGTGCATTCTCCACATAAATTTTTATTTCATTACTGCTGTCAAGAGATCCAAGCAGTCAGATACATTCCAGATGGCAATTGTTAGACTATTTCTAGTTTCTTCAAAATAAATCATTTTTTATCTGTCAACAATAATCTGTAATACATTTATAGCGTGTATTAATTTAATTTAAAAATATAAAAGTCACACTTAATATTTTTTTGTTTCTTACATTTTTAGCGTCGGATGTATACAAGGTGTATTATGCAACGCCTAAAATTCATAATGATATCTGTCCTTGCTCTGATGACTACGTGATAAGACATTCACCTCCATTGGTCATGAACATTGGTCGGGATGCCTCTGAAATGACAGGAGAAGTACTAAGAGATGATCCTCTCTATGAAGAAATTCTCAAACTGGTTGCTAAAGCTATAAAAGATCATGAGGAGAGCTTGAAGAAAGCTGGTGGAAGGAGAGAGAGTAAGATGAACCTCATTAACATGCTACCCAGATTCTGGCTACAGTTATGTTGCAATTTTCCTTCCTGTGATTGCACTGAACAAGACTTGTAATATTAGTATTCACTCTTTGGGAATAATAAAGCTGATTTCATAAATGGTGCTACAAATAGTTCATTTATTGATTTATACAATATTTCATTTGATATTATCGTTGATTTTTATAAATTTCTCTGCTTGTTGCATGCAGTGAAAAATAAATGAGCGACTTTGAAGGGGAAAGTGTGAGAGAGTTTAATACTTCTTGAAGTACATTTTTAAGCATATTTCAAGAAATATATTGTCCTTCAAATGATTACTTAATTTTTATTAGCATTTGAAAACAAATAAATAAAACAGAGTCATTATTCAAGTTTTCTTTGTTGTTTGTTGATATCTACTTAAAGCTTTATTGACAATTTCAGAAGGTAATCGTCCTGACTCTTTTATTTCTTCAATTTCTATCTGCTTCTTGTTTTCCATCTTTCCCTGTTATTTTTATGTCAGTATAAATTTAATTTCAAATGACCAAAATTATGGTGACAGAAAAAAATGCAATTGATAAATTGTCTATCTAACCTTTTGTTCATTGCTACATGCAATAAATGCTTCAATTTCTTTTGAGCATCTTGACTCATCAAATTCTTTTTTTTTCATGCATGCCAACATGAGTGACATTTCTTGCAAACATGGTGTCTCTGAAGTGTGTATATAAGTGTATAGTTATAATACTATAATACCAATAGTTCATGTATTTTTCAATGAAAAATTTTGAATGTTTAAAAAAGCTTTCAGAAAGTTTCTCGAATTGATAGATAAATCTACTAATGCAATACTAGCTAATGGAATCCTAATGTTAACCATATTAAATGTTTTTTTTAGTTTTCAATAAATCTAAACACTCAATTACTATTCCTCCTATTATCTTACCTGATTCTAAAACTCTTGATGTCTCTCATAAGTTTCGTAGTCTAGGTTTTATCTTTGATTCTACTATGTCTCTCTCTTCTCAGATTAATAGTGTTGCTAGAAGTTCTTACTTTCATCTACGTAGAATAAAAAAACTTTTGCCTTTTCTTGATGATCCTACTCTTCTCCTTCTTGTTACTTCGTTAGTCTTATCTAGGATTGATTATTGTAACTCGCTCTACTATGGTCTTCCTGACTCTATACTCTATCCTTTAAGTAAAGCTTTTAACTCTGCTGCTCGTCTAGTTGCTCGTGCCCCTTTCTTTTCTCATATATCTCCCTATCTTGTTCTCTTGCACTGGCTACCTATAAAATATAGAATAATTTTTAAAATTTACACGTTCATGTATAAGTCTCAATCTAAATTATTTCCTAAGTATTTATCAGATATATTAATTGAACCTAAACGCCCCGGTTTACGATCGTCTTCTTCTTCTCGCTTTTTCTTAACTCATGTTAAACACTCTTTTGCCAAATCTGCTTTTGCTTTTTCTGGTCCTTTTCTCTGGAACTCTCTACCTATTTCTCTGACTAGTTCTCCATCACTTGTGAAGTTCAGAGCGGATCTCAAGACCCATCTGTTTTCAAAATTCATTGAGGAGCGCTGTTGAACATCGCGGAAATAGCGTTTTATAAACTAATTGATTGATTGATTGAAATGTTAAATTAAAAAATTTTTAGTATAATTTTTAATAAATTCAGAGTTATGAAAATCTCGAAAATAATGAATAGTTAATTAACAATGGGCAGAAATAGTTCCTGTAAGACGTAAGTGTAAATAAATTGAAATTAGTAATCTTTGCAATAAAATTATCAAGTTTAATAAATAAGCCAGATGACTCTAAGATTATCAAATCACCATAATTTTTTTAATTATTTCACTAACAACGGTACCGACTTCGTTGCTTTTCCCCTCTGCCGGATACACGGTCTCTCAGGACGGCCGGCAGCATTTGTTTGTACGGATAATTAGGGTAATGGGGAGATTTTTTTTTCATCGGAGTGACATCTATCGCACCTAACTTGAATAAATTGCTTGTTAATCGAGGCATGGTTTCAGTATAGACAATCTATACCTATAGTATAGTGATAGTCTGTATTCTGAGGAGGAACTTTTACCCAGTGCTTCTTTATTATCGCTTATTTTTGTTTACCAGAGATTTGGTATCGTATGGGTATGATGAGCACATATAATTAGAATAAATATAACGGCCTTCGCTCATTTTTGACGGTCGAACAAGGAGCTTACTTTCGGAGAGAAATTGGAGGGGGATTTTTTATCGCCCAAGTCAAAAGTTACGATCGTATATTTACTAATTTCGGAATATTGCTTTTATTTAAAATTTCAAAATGTTTTAAAAGGTGATACTAGATGCTGTTTTAGGATAGATATTGCTGTATGACGGTTAAGTATCTTTTTGCATTTTAAATAAAAAAAATTTTTTGTGAACCACCAACAACACTTTTAGTTTTAACTTTTAACTCATTAACTAGTGTAAAACAACACTAAACGACGACTAATTAGTAATTAAATTACTAAACTCTAATAATTAAGCTAAAACTAAACTTTACTGATTCTAATTACTAATTGAAGTAAATAACAGATAACGCTAACGAACATTAACAGATTAGACTACTAGAAACTACCAACCACTACACTACTAGATACTACTACTACACTAACAACTAACAGCACTTGTTCCTAAGATCCTAAATTCTATTGCTTGATTGGTTTTAAAATTTTTATTTACAATGCTTAGGTCTGGGAATAAAAAATAAATTATACTAAATTAAATAAATATATTAAACAACTTATCAATCAATTTTATAAAATAAACAATTTTGTAATTTGTTCAATTCAAGCTTCAAACTCCCCAAACTAACTTGCAATTTAATTAAAATTTATTAATTATGAGTGATTCAAACTAAATTTTTTTCATTTAATGTTTTACAAAATTTTCCTCATTCTTAAATTGTAGTACATGTTGTTATTAAATTTATTAAAGATAATGTGTGATTCCAGTGATTCATCAATCCATGACTTGTTAGATCATGATCATTCAGTTTTAAAGAATCCCCATCACCATAACCAATGAGGTTTGTAAAAATTGTACTTTTAATTTATTATATTTTATGCACTTAGAATGTTGTGTTATTAATTGTTAATACCTCGGGAAACCGGGTCTCTGGACGCAAAATGAAGATTGATTGATTAATTATTATCATTAATTTATTAAATGCTGTGCATACCTATGGCAAGTAAATAAAATAATTAAGCACAGAAATAGCCACAATCAAATTAATTTATATAGGCATGAGTATAATTTGGATAATAATAATTAAAAATATCGGTATCATTGAAAATGGATAGTCATAAATAAAAAAATAAATCATAAATTGCTAAAAATAATAGTTCCAGTAAGATTTTGCCTTACACCTACATTTTTTTTTCATTTTTATATTATAATAAATGTTTGTTATCAAATATATCAAGGATTGATTTCTCAATCCATGACTAGATTGAATGTCATGACCCTACAGTTCCAGAGTATCCCCATCACCATTAGTCAATAAGGTTTGTAGAAATCACCACAGGCATACCATCAATGTTTTGTAGCCACCTTTTAATGTAGTGTTAATAAAATAACATTGAGAATAGTTATTTAAAACAATCTTATTAAAATTATTGAACAGGTATGACAAGATCACTTTCTTAATGTCCTAGTGTGAGGAAGATGTAAGCCATTTGTCCAAAGATAATCATATGCCTTATGCCCATACAAATGCAGTGTCAACGCGAATGATTTTTGATCAGAGTCATATGTTCTAATTTTTTTAAACTTTTCCAGAAATTTTTCTGTTAATTTATTTGTTACATTAAATACTTGATGTGTATTTCATATAAAAACTTGATTATGCCAATTTAGTTAACTTGTTAAGCATTAATATAAAATTGACTCTACTTGTAATGGTGATTGGTATGATGATGATGATCCCAGTCCTAAACAGGGTTTATTATTCACAATGTCATTATGCCCTTTCTAAGTTTTAATAAAATACATGGAATATTGGTGAATGCATTTTATATTTTTTGGATAAATAATGTTGCAATGTACAATGAAGATGTGAATTGCTTCCTTGTGTAACTGATGGCATATAAATATAACTAACTTGAAAACATGGAAATGCTTTCTTCAGCATTACCTTCCTATCTCCATCATAACCCTTATAATCTTTATTACAGAAATGGTCACTGCATTTTCTTGCATTTTTTGATGGAAGCCATTTGAAATCATTTATTTCCTGTCTGATGCACTTAATCCAATCGTTTTGCATTATTACATTTTGAGGAAATCTGAAATTTTATAAACTGTTACAGAAACTTGTGCATTTCTTAAGTATTGCTTTTAATAATAAAATGGTAATCCATGATAGCATTATAAATTATAATAGTCTATAAAATAAAATATATCTAATTGTAAAACAAAATAGTTCTATTCAACGAGTATAGGGATATTGTTACATTTATTTTAGTGTGAAGTTAATTTGAAAATAAACCTGTGAAAAAATGCATCAAAAATTTTCTCATTTCTATTTATTATTAATGCAATTTTTAATGCAACAGGTAGGCATGTTTGTGTATAGCTACGAAAATGAAAATTTACTTAAAAACTAAATTATTGTATCT